GAAATTTGGAATTGCTGGAAGTTCGTTTTGAAAATGGGAATTGAATTTCCAATTCATTTAGTATTGCTGCAGCTTGACTTTATTCCAGCGGCCCCTGAAATAATGTCGAATTTGCGGCCTTGGAGTACTACCCCCTTTGTGGGTTTGATTGTGGGCAGGTGTTGAACAAGATTCATGTAAGAAAACATGTGCTTGGGAAAGCTGACCATTTTGAATTCGAGGAGCAGGCCCAAATCTAACAGTAAGGCCTGAATCATCGCCAGCATCACCCGTGCGGGTGATGCTGTCTAATCTTAACTAGTTTTCAGAGGCAATTACACTGGGCAGGTTGTACATTTTCGGGGGGCCAGGCAAGAAGACTTTATTTCAAACCCCCTTGCGGGTTTGATTGCGGACTGTTTTTAAACAAGAAACATATAAGAAAACATGGGTTTGGGAAAGCTGGACATTTTGGGTTTTGGGAAACTGAAGAACAAGGCTCTAAAGATCCAAGGGCCAGGTGTTGGCTTGGCTGCCTCTCCTCTTCTTTCGCCTGAATTTAAACTTGTCCAATGTTTCATTTTGTTCAACATCATGGACGGGGGCGGCAGGTGTTGTTCTTTATTCCAGGTGCATTTACTAATCTTTTTGGGCCACCCGATTGTCTTTATTCCGGGTGCATTTATTAATCCTAGGTGGACATTACTTCACCAGGCAGCAATTTTGAGTAAACAAGGCAAAACAATGTTAAAGTGTACATGTTTACACAGTATGCTCTAAAGGTTGTCAGCCACAAGATTTGAGATAACCCCTACTAACTCTAGACACACCACTTAAACATGACGCACAATATTCTAGAGGCTGTCAGCCACCTAAATCACGATTTGTTGCCGAAGTGTTGCACATTCAAGATATTTGATCTGGGCAGAACATAACATATCTGGACGACAGGAGAATCAATATAAATATGATAAATATGCGTATGCCTAGGGTCTTCCCTGGTCAAAGGTTCTTGTACTTTTCCGTTTCAAGCCAAAAAGGATCAATTGGAAATTGTTCTGGTGTATGTCCGCCAATCTCTCTCATGTCCCGCCGATGTCTGCTTCCGGGAGACAATGTTCTAACATCCCAAACCAAGGCTGTTCCTCTCATTCAATTTTTGCGCTCACAATCTGAAACGAGCAAACAAAAATGCTCAGAGCCCCAAAAAGTGACCAAATGGACGACCTAGGTGTATCATATATATATATATATATATGTATTTGATTTCTATCTTGATCTTTCACAAACACAAACACAAAACAATACCTAACCAACAGGTCCAAGAGCTGTACCTTTAAAAGCCGCCGGCAGCGTTCAAGCACACCTCGAATCTCCTTTTCGAGGGAGACTTTCTTGAGCGGATTCCATGTCTTTTTTGGGACCCTGTTTCCCCTGGAGGGTCCAAGCACCTTCTAGGGCTGTACTTCAACCCCTTTAACCCCCACAACAACCAACTTGGGACCCTCTCGCTTTTTGGCGCTTCCTACCCACCCAAGCCGGGAAGCTGCTCTCTCGAATCGACTCGACTCGACTCGGTGGCTCAGGCTGGCACTTAGGCCGATGAACTCCGCCTACAGCGTTGCGCGTCGGCTTTGACTTCGATTCAAAAGAACCCAAAGAGTGGCACCCGCAACACGAAGACTTGCCCGTCTCTGTTGGGTTCCTCATCAAGACCATGATAGCATCTTAAACGATCTTAAACCACACACACAACAAAACACACACACAGACAACAAAACACACACAGACACAGACACACACAACAAAATACACACACACAGACAACAAAACACACACACACACACACACACACACACACACACACACACACACACACACACACACACACACACACACACACACACACACACACACACACACACACACACACACACACACACACACACACAAACACACAACAAAACACACACACACACACAACAAAACACACACACACAACAAAACACACACACACACACAACAAAACACACACACACACAACAAAACACACACACACACATAACAAAACACACACACACAAACATGAACGTAATAACACTATCACACAAACATATGCACAACATGTGTCCCGTGGAAGAACAGTGAACAGGAAACAAACATTCCCTTTTTAAATGGGTGAGGTTGTTTTGACCCCTTGACTCATCCACTAAAAGACACACACACACAACACACAAATCACCCAGCTGCACAAGTGTACTTGTTGAAAATGCTTTCCGAAAGAAAGGTATCGTTTTTGGGTTTGGCTAGTGTTACCAAGCAACCAGCCGTGCATCTGGCGAAGTGCTTTGATCAAGCACTCAAGTTGCGGGTGTCGCCCGTGGTTATCCTTTTTGGGGCTCACTATTTGTTCATGTCTCGTGGTTTGGAGCCAATCCAGCACACGAAAGCGAGATGCACTTTTCATCACGGGAGCGTGTGCAAGTTGTTGACATGCCAACGGCTGCACTGCGAAACACCGCAAAGATGTTGAATTGATCAGTGCCAAAAGCCGCTAGCTTTCACTCAGTCCGCACTTGTGGGACCGTGAAAAAGTAGCCTTCACGTTCCCAAGCAACACGTGTTGGGATTTGAAGTAAGACCGGGGATTCTGAATGTGGCTCCCTTGCTGGTTTACCAGTACAACTGACTAGAGCAAGTCGGGCGAATGGCAGGCCCAGGCACGTCTGCGACTGCAGCTGACACACTGAGTCGATGATCCGGCGAGAAAAAGGTGTTAGCCGTCTTAGACAATTGCCAACAAACTGTTCAGTTAACAAATTGCCAACTCAAAAGGTGACCGATTCTGAGGGGCTAAGGACAGTTCCTGGTGAGCTTGCCTTTCCACACTGGCACACGTCCCCACCCCTTGTAGGAGAACGACGAGGACACTTGTGTTTACAAAAGCATGGTCTTGATAAGCCGTAATATCAGCGGTGCTGACCGCCAAAAGCATAGAACCCGAAGCCCAGATCTTAGCAAAGGATTTCGGAAAGAAACATCAAACAAGGTGCAGGAGCCCTCTTTGAGGGACTTGTTGAGCTATTGGAAAGACAAACGACAAGCAGTATGGAAGAGACCTGAACAGGAGCAAAGGCCAAATCAGCGGAAGTTCCTTTTATTAGCGCCGCACAACGAATCCCTCGATTTCCGGTTAATACGATTCCTGCCTTCGCCTGGCTCTTCAGCTCCGGCTTCCGCACCTGCCCCAAACGACGCGCAAGGAGCGGCTGGCTTGCGCCCGAGGACCTGATAGCTCCATTTGAGGTCGGTTAAAACATCACCTGGGCTCCTGGCATACACATAAGAATGAGGAGAAATCAGCAAGAGCCACGTTGGGGATGGTTTGCGCTTGCTTGTTCTTGGTGCGGAATCACTCAAGCTTTTGGGAATGAACCTAGGCATCCTCTGAAAGGAAACTACAAGGGATGGTTCATAGGGGTCATTGGGTCATTGGGTCATTCCCTCATTCCCTACTGAGAACCAGCAAGCAAAAGAAAAGCCACAACCGGGTTGCCCTTCCCCCCTAAGCAAAAGGTTTAATTGAGAGGCAATTTAGTCTAAAAGGTTTAAGGGGCTAAGCTTCCACCAGAGAACTTCGAGACAAACCCAACGGACACCCCAGCCCCGCCAATCATTCTGCCACTTGACAGGCTGGAGGCCTTTTTGAGATAGGGAAGGCAAAAGCAACCCGACCATTCTCAGCCGTTTCTTTCTCAAGAAATATATTGTAGGTGGATATGGGTAACAAATGGTGGAGTAGTTAAACAACAAGTCCCAACAAGTTGATGGCTGGGCAGCGCCATACTCCAGGCTCTGAAATCCCTGGTGACGATTCAACGCGTCTCCCTGGATGCTAAATAGGATGTCTGGAAAGCAAAACAAATACCCATCCCCGTTCGTTGCCCTTTGGGCAAATCGCAGTGATGGGCTAGTCAGCATCCAATTCCCAAAGCTGGGGTACACAACGCATAGTACGTGTCAATGTATTTTCATATTCACTCTACGCTCAAATTACAAAATGGAGGTTGAGCTGACCCTAGGTTTGGGGGTTGCTCCAAACTTGTAAACCCGATTTGAGTCTTTTCAGAGTAGACTTGATTGAACCCAGCGGTAGTTGCTTGTCCAATGGGGATTCGTGGAGCACAAGGCTCACCCCTCAAATCCCAGCCAAGTGCCAATGTAGACTAGACAACCCTAAAATGAGGAATCCTCAAGCAAAGAAACTTCATCATGGGTGAACTCGTGCAGCCCCAAAGGGATCTCAGTTATACATCTAATCGCACTTCCCCCGCTTCTTTGCAGGGAAATGAATTGTCAAAAACTCTGCGAATTCTCGTGGTTTGGGGGAAAGGAATGGGGCATCAACCTCAAGAACCGAGAAGCTGGCTTTATCGCGGCTTCGGTGAGCTCGCCTTCGGGTCGCAGTTGAGTCGTAATCAAAACCTGATATGGCAAGGTCGACCCAAAACCATGCAGAGAACGGCAAGAGCGGGTTCTTCTGCACCTACTAACCTTGGTGGCTATCGACCTTGCCCAAAAAGGTTATGTTTGGGAAAACTATCGACTTCCCACAAAGCCAAGGTGAAGGATCCAACCCAGTAGTATTCAAGAACTGGTCCACACTGCCGCGAGGAAGGGTACCACGCTGCCGCCAGGAAGGTATGGCATGGGCCTGGGAGACCCCAATAACATTAATCTACCCGGGCTTTGAGTTGCAGGCTAGGGGCTTGCCAATCGCAGCCTTGTCAACAGCTGCAAACATATGGTCTTTGAAAACAAGACACACAATTGTACAAACAAACCCAACAAACCCTGTTGCAGTCAGCAGCCGAGTTTCTATCGTGGGTATGTCTCAATTGCTGGTGCTCAGTTTGGAATGTAGGAATAAACCCTGGGGTCCCCTTAAAGGACACCACCAGTTGGATGGGTTCTTCTATGGTTCATGCCATTTCTCATTCCCATCTCTCGGTTTCGATGGCTCAGGCCGGCGCCTGCGGCTTCAGTCCGTGGGCCTTGAGGCCCCGCAGCGCGCTCTTCGCAGCCTTCCGCACCTCGCGGGCTTGCGAGCGGGCTGCTTCCCAGCGCGTGGGCCTTTGGGCTTGGGGTGGCGGCACACCAAACAGGTGTCAATATAGGGACGCTTCACCGTGCAAACGCAAAGATCTTGGCTTATTAGCAACAACTATCCCTTTTGAGCTTCTTTGAGGAGACTGCCGTTTCATTCTCAACTATGTAGCACCGGGCGTAACCTCTGGTCCTGCCCCTTTAGTTTCAGACTCGGATAAATTATTGGTTGTAGAAAATGACAGGGATTCCCATCGTGACTTTGTGAAATATTGAAGGACATTCCCTTGGCCACTCACAGAAAACGTCAACCCCAAACCTAATTAGACGCCCAGCTTTCCACATGGGTGTGAGTTTTAATTGGGGACACTTTGGTGACATAATTTAGGTGGGGATTTGGGTCCACCAACCACTTTGGAGGTGGTTCCCCGCTCAAATTCATGGCTACATGGATCCAGCCGTATGATTGGCAGTGTCCAGCCTCGTAGTCCTCATCGCTCTCTGAGACCTGCACGAGCTGTTGGAGGTATGGCCTCGGAACGGGCTCCAAGGGTTCAGGAGTCATTTTCTCACTCAGACTTAGTGCCTACTATCCCCTGCCCCATTGCTTTGACTGGTTGCAGCTTCGTCGGCAAGCAATCAACCAGTCCCAAAAAGCTACAGGTCGAAGATCCAACCAAGCAGCATTAAACACAAATGGTCGACTTGGATTTCTGATTGAACCACCTCTTACCGGGTCGTGCATTGATGATCCGCTGAAAGGGGATGATGAATGACTCCATGGAATCCCCGGGCCGAGGCATGCAAATTCTCAAATGTCCCACCCACGTGCAGGGTCCAATGAAGTCAGTTAATCCCACCCTCAAAAGGTAAATTCCAAGGAGCATAGGTATGCCTTCAAAAAGCGGAGCCCTCAGCTGCTGGATGTTTGATTATTCTCCCAAGTGAACGGGGGCGCTTGGGTGCAGCCCGTGATAAGACGACACACACACACACACAAACAGGGAAGGCTGGGTTGCCCTTCCCCGTCAGTTTTGGCGGGGTGTTTGGTTCCGCCCGTTGCGTCCTTCCTAGCATGAACCTGTGGTATGATGCTCTACTTTCTCCAACAATCATGGCTGCAGGAGGGTCCTAGTGGTCCAGTTCCATAATTGCTCGGCAAGGGGCAATGCTCACAGTTTTGCTCGCAGACAGAAGCTCTGGCTTCAAAATCGCCGAGCATGCTGTTCAGAGCACTGATCTGAAGTTGCTAAACCAACTGACTTGATGATGGCCCGTGCCCCCTGTCCAATGCAAACACTCTAACCTTTTGCGCGGGTTGGTCAGGAAAAGCTCATTTTGTCCAAAAGTTGAAGGCTAAAATGTGGTGACAGACCCAACCCGGCACGCAAGCTGAGGTTGGCGCGCAGCAGCGGCGCCCAGCTGCTGCAAGACGCGGCAGCCCTCTCGGCGCTCAGTAAAGGCCTCGGCGTGCGTGTCTCGCGATCGAGTCGGGGATGGGTGTTATAAACCCCTTTAAAGGGGTTTACTGGGTGTACCAATTTTCAACCCAACCGCGGCCAAGCAGATGTGTCAAGGACTAGATCGTGAAAAGCTTGGACCGGTTAAAGAAATAGGAAGGCGACCAGTGACCCGAACGGAAGCACAAAGACTCTAAGCTGGGATTCAAGTGGGTGTGTATTTAGAGATAGAAAAGGGAACCTTCCTTGGCGAACCCAAACAAGACGGGAATTCAAAGGGTGCCACTGAAGAACTGCAGGATCTGCATGGAGTCCCCATGACGCTTGAATCAAAAATGGGGCAAGGCACCTATGTATCTGGTGCTTCGCTTTTAGACAGAGATGGACTCCAAGCTATATCACCCCCGCACATAGAAGTTATTAAACTAGGGGACGACCCCCTCCCTTTGTTCTTCTGCTGGGTTTTCTTTGCAACCAAGCGTGAGTAAAGGGTATCATCTCAAACTTGCGGAGGCCTTGGATGGTTGGCTCTAGCGCCGGGGATCCTCAACTGATTGGGTTGAATAGGCTAAAGCCCAGGAGAAACTACGAACTTGACGGGCCCCCAACTTTGGGAGCATTTTGACCATCGCATCACGGGCGGGCTTCCCCCCCCCGCCCCCGGGCCCCTTTGTTTGCCCAAGCAACTGGGGTTGTCTCCAAATTAGGATATAGAACCAAGATGGAGTGGGTTTCCCATGGATGCCCCGAAAAAAGCACCTCTCAAAACGAGACCGCTTTGACTAAAGAAGGCACCGAGTGGTGTGGTTTGAACTTTCTCGGGTTTTGACTGTGACTCAACTGCTCAAAAGGCCTCGCTGGACAGCTGCGCCGCAGCCGCTTTGGCTTCACGCAGTTCCTCCTAGCAGAAATTGTGGAGGCGTCCCGGTGGAACCCCCAATAGGGTGTACAGGAATAGAAATTGGGCCCCTGGTAGAGGGAAACCGACAGAGACACATTTTTTCTTGGATTGGTCTTTGTTTCAAGGTTCGGACGGAGTTCCCTAAAAATCCCTTGCATCACCCCAATGGGTTTTCCAACCAGGTAGCCTTCAGGGTTGCTCCAATTCGATCTGGCACAAGGGTAGACAAGTGGTGCCAAGGAAGCGAGTGCCCCAATAGCAGCCAATACCATCCGTGCTGGTTGGTCATTGTTGTGAGGATCCTGAGATACAAACCCAAAAGGAGCTATGAAGCGCGAAAGATACTCCACAAACGCCCCACCGAACATCCACCCTGAAGCCAGCCGCTGTCCTGGACCAACCCTGCATCAATCCTACACCATTGCATCATCCCAGAAACAACGCTGAACCAATCTCAACCCACTCCAAGTGCGGGGAGACCATGTGGGGCAGAAGGGGTCGGGGGTTGGGGGGCTGGAGCAGACATATATTTATGTGTATATACATATATATATATACACATGTCTGCGCGTCGCTCCAAACAGCTACTCTTCGGTGGGCTGTCGTTCAAAACACACAACGCATTGCCTGGCTTAGACAGATTCGTATATTTCCCACATGATTCCACCAGCACACGAAGAAACAATCAATGAACTAAGCAATAAACACATGAGTCACATCAAACAATGAATCACTGAACCATGCCGACAATCGACATTATCAGAATACAAAAAAGGCAAATGAAACAAATAGCATGCAAGACATGCACACATATGAACGGAGCCATTCCCAAGCACCTGTATTGAAAGCCAGCTGCGACCCCATGTTAAAAGGGGATGTTGAAGGTTGTTGCCGACTGCCAAATGTCACAGCTCAAGATCGAGGGCTCTGAAAGATAAGCGCCCTCTCCGATGCACCTTCTGGAACAAAAGAGGGTTCCAAAAAGAGACAATGCCGCATGGTTAAGTGTGTTTCTTCTACCGTGACTTCTCCCAAGCCATACATTCCCAGCCTCTTGCTGGTCTGGCACCGGATCCTCGGCATTGGGCGAGATTGATTCCCAGGCTCGCAATAAAATTTAAATAATACCAGCCAATGGTGGAAGTCCACAACAGGGTCCTAAAATGGAGGAAGTTCGGCCCTTAGCCTCAGTTCTTTCGAAGCGTTAGGCCTTATTAGGCCTTACGTAGCACTTTTGGGATTGCGGTCGCAGCGATAGCCTTTGCTCTGGGAAGGCGAGCGAGCTAATGCCTGAAACCCTAACACCTGCACCCCACATCGAAGACTCCGCTGTCATATCCTTCAGGAGCAATGGAAAGAAAACGACTGGAGAAAAAAGCATGTTCGACTACGTGCAAACTTCTTTCGTTGGAAAATGAAGGAATTCACTTGTTTTCTTCCATTCAAAGGGGAAACCCGGTGAAAACCCCTCTTGCAACAACCTGGGTGCCACCGAACGCATTTCTTCCGAAAAGATCTTAGCCTTCTGGAGGCCTCCCTTCGTCAGGATCTGGACAGAACCGCCCAAAGGCTTCAAGTGTTGTGACGGGTTGAGGAGCCGTACCACTCCCATACTGCTTCCAGGGCCCAATTTCCCGAAGTAAAGCCAGAGAGGTCCATGCGCCTTCTAGTCGAACCTAAAACCTGCACATACGCTCAGCCACCTGCCCAAGAAGTGAATCACTTTTGCAGCTAAGTAGGAAATAGCAATTTCACAAAAGAAACCAAAGCTGGAAGACCCAACCCAATAGGCATTCAAAATGGGTGACATTGGTTGCAACGCACAACCCTGCGCGCAGCCCCAAAAACTTGCCCAAATGCACGACCCCAATTACATCATGGCTATTGCCGAATTGCTGACCTCTTGAGTGGATCAGCCACACAATCCAAACCCTATGGGACGATTGTCTTTTTTTTTGGGGGGTCGTGCCGGGACTGAGCAAACGGTTGCCACCACCTGCTCAGTTGGAGGGGTTGCACTAGTCCCAAACCGCTACCCCGAAAGGACGCCTATGTGCTACATAGGGGCAGAAGTTCATCTGCGCACTCAGATTCGTCATCTGCGCACAGAGAGAACTTCTGTAATTTCTTCTCGTGGTCACTGGGGTGGGGTGTGGTGGGCTGGGCTGGGTGGGGCTGGCAGGGCAGATGATCATATTCATGGGTTTTGGGGATGATAAATGGGGCTATGGTGGGGTAGGGGGAGGTGGTTCATGGGAAGGCAGTAAGATGAGCTGGGGCTGGAATGCCCTGTGGAAAGTTTGTGTCAAGCCCTGGCACCACGTCATCTTGATCGACACACACTGAGTGCTTGTGACCAAACAGCGCTTTTGCTTTTTTGGCGGATCGTGCCGATGTCCGGCCCCCTCTTGGACGAGTGCGCGGCACACTCACCACGCAGGACGACCCGGCCCACAAGCGGGAACTTCATTTTGCACGAGCCTCATACAAGAGCACCTTGGTAAATACCAAACAAACACTTCGAAAGCAGCTCAACAACCGCAGTCAGTCACCAAATTTTTGCCCTCAGCACAAACCCGTAGTGCTGGCACGCTATTTGGGGAGTATGCTGCAGGCCAGCAAGACCACAGAGTTCGCCGCAGCAACCACAAGAACCCCCTCCCCTCCACTCCCTCCCCTCCACTCCCCTCCACTCCCCTCCACTCCCCTCCACTCCCCTCCACTCCCCTCCACTCCCCTCCACTCCCCTCCACTCCCCTCCCTCCCCTCCCTCCCCTCCCTCCCCTCCCTCCCTCCCCTCCCTCTCCCTCCCTCCCCTCCCTCCCCTCCCTCCCCTCCCTCCCCTCCCTCCCCAACCCGCCCTCCCCTCCCGCCACACGCCCAGCCGGCATGCATAGCCCCGACCCCGCACACAAGCGGCCCGCGAGCGCACAGGTGAACGAGACCATGCGCCTGCGAGTGTACATGTGACCGCTGCGCGTTGCTGGAAAGTAACACGATGTTTCGCTTGGTGAGTGCACAACCGACTGCTTGGCTGAAAAGCGAGTGCATGCATGAGCAAATTCCGAGTGCACCGACGACCGCTTTAGCGAGTGCACAGACCAACCCCTGCACACTATATAGCCACTGTATAGCAACTACATCTGTATATACTAATATGTTATACAATTTGGTAATGGGATTCCTCTAGGATCTTGGAAAGCGCCTGTCTTTGAGCAATCCGTCCAAGCAGCCACATCTTCCAGGTCGTCGTAGTCAAACATGGAGCGCTGCACATGCGTTGTACCATCCCTAGCTCAAATTCTCAAACTATATGCCTTCTGTCTGCGAATTTGAATGCTTACCTAGAGACGACAACAGGTCAAACACAACTCGGAAAACGAATCACACTCTCAAGCTCGAAGCTGGACAGATCATGTGGGCGCAGCCATGCCTAATTGAGCAAGCCATTGGCACAGGGTCTCTTCAAATCCATGCTCAACCAGTTGATGCGGCAGTGTGATTTGGGGATGACTAAGCCACTCCTGAACGGCCGTCCTCCACTATGACAGCGATTGGTGTCGAGCATCAAGGTATCTCTCAAGTTGCCTTTGAGCATTGCGACGAATGCAGCGGGCACGTGCATCTTGCAACCATGGCTGACTTGATTTGAATTCTGCCTGTACCCAACACAGCTGCATGACAGCCTACATGCCAGTCAGTGAACCTGTCAGTGAAGCTTCAGAAACCTAAGCCTTCGTTCACCAAGGTTCCCTTCAGTTCCCCCAAACCATCTCCCGACCCAAAAGAATGCTCGCAATTCAAACGGCCCAACATGTGACCTTTGCCCAAACGGGAACTCTAGAAAAACCATTGTAGGTTGCGGCATTTGAGGGTCAGTCAGCACCTTGTCCCGCAAAGTGCTTTTCTGAGATTCAACACCAGGCGGTCCTTAATCCTACTCAATCACTAGTGGCAGGACACCACAACAAAGCACTGGTACCATCTGGCATAAACTTTCAGGAATGATTTCGAGAATGTGAAGCTCTCAGGGCAGCAATCTTCAGCAAGCGTCCTTTTGCCTTGCAAGCAAATTAGAGTCTCTGGCTGGGCTGGACTGTTCAAAATGGAGGCGTGGACAGTCCTATTACAAACAAAACTGATTAAGAACTGTCCGTCAAGGAAACCTATCTATATGGGCATCGGCATGAACGTTCCTTGAGGACGCTTTCGTAGGCATCACATGGAATTCATGTCCACCAATCGTTTGGAGGGCATTCCTCATTGAAGCTCATGGCCACGTAGAACTTTCTTTGGACAGCCCAGCTAGGCGTGGGGCACTCCAACCGTCTTGGTTGAAACAAGACACCCACCGCACATGGCCGTATCGATGGCGACAATGGCGGTGGCCGTGGGGGCGCAACTTGTTGGACTGTTTCTCATGTTCAATCTGGCAGATGTACAGGGGCGTGCCACACAGCAATATTCAGCAATGGCGTCTTATCCATTTGGCGACTGGTCCTGACTTCACAGCTTCTCCCAATGCCAAATCCAAATCCATGTAACAGCTAGACTAACGACCCATTCGTCGGTATTGGCATTCCTGAACCAATGGGCCTATCGCCACTGTCAGTTAATTCCTCGCATCCAATTCTGCCTCAGCTTTGCCGAGGCTCTGGCTATCCATGGAACCGAACAAGGAGCCCGCGTAGGACTGGAAGGCGTCCAAGTACTTTAAGAAGGCCTGAGCTTTGCCCAGGAAAACCTGCCCGGTGATTCCAGTTCCAGGGTTTTGTAGAGCAAGGGAGGTCTTTAAAAACCAAGGTTACTCCCTAGAGTGGCTTGCCTGGGCTCCACTGGGATTGAACAAGCAATGGATTAAGCGAATATTACAAATATGGGCTTCAGACGAATACACCTGTCCTATTAATGGGCCAAAAGTGACCAACCCCCCTAAGGGAGAGCCCCTACTCATCCACAAGGGGTTTGTTTATGCGGGGTTGTTATGTTTCCACTTGATGGCCAGAACACCCTGTCCAAAGCCGATTACCTTCTTGTTTCTTAGTGGGCCAAAATTCACTGTTAAAGATGTCGAGCCAAACAGATCCCAAGTCCAGAGTTCCCCCCTCAAACTGCATTGTGTTTGCAGCCGTTTGCGGGGAGTGGAAACCATCTTGGACACAAGTATGAAGTTCACTGCCTGGCCACCAACCGGAGTCTGACGTTGACTGTAAATGGCGAGTCGGTGGAACTCTTCCCACCCAGGGGTGTCCGCTTTTAGTCTCGGCACCCTGTAACAAACGGTGAAGAGAAACCTTTCGGGGTTTCTACTACTTTGAGAAAAAAACATATGCACGAGCCCAAAATGAACGACAAAGAAAGAGTTCCTGCACAATACCCCGTATTAGTCGAACTCTTTGTCTGGGCCATGGTGATGGTTCCGTTCGTAGGAGCCTTATTGTGGTAAAGTCCCCAATCCCTACCAACCCCTAGTAAACCGATTCAAAAAAGAGTCATTAACTTGCCTCGAATCAATTCGGAGTGTTGTGAACAAGGGGAACTATGAAGCCGCGATCAAGCCCTCACAAACCAGAAGAACAAGGCAGCATGTTAAAACAACGAACAAGTCAAGATCATGGACGTCGTCTATTGCATCTCCAGCCAGGCTGTCATAGAAAACACATGGCACCCATTTCAAACACATGGCTGATGCTAACACTTTCAGCTGACCCCAGTCCACGGCCGGCTTCGGCCCTCACATCAAAGGGTGTTGAGATGAACCCCGTCTTAATTCAACACGCCAATTGAACAAATAAGCCACAGCTTGGAAAATACGGGCAGTACGTGCGTAAGATGAAGAAGCCAAGCTTAAGCCAAAAATTGACAGCAACGGCTTCTCAAATGACACAATGTGGTGCCAACCACGTCATTCTGTCGTTGCCGAACGATGGGGGATATTTAAAGAGGCAGGGTATTTAGCAAGTAGTTCGTAATAATAGTTAGAGGCTGGGTCACAACCAAGGTTGTTAACCCCATACTAGGGCTTTGCTACAAGCCATCATCTAACAAATAAACATCGAGCCAATGCAAGTGATGTGGCAACAACTGGCGGACCCCCAATCACCACTTACCAAGTGTCAGACACCGGAAAGTCAAATGAACCTTTAGGAGCTTTCTCTGGTGGTCAGCGCAAGCTCTGTATATATCCCTTCAACCACACCTGGGAGATACAAGCCAAGGTTTTCATCCCCGCCTCCACATCATCCTCGGGGGGCAGCGGCGCCATGCCGCGGGCACCCGCGTCCCGAACCGCGCGCGCGTCGCCGGGAGCTCTTTGCCGGGGGCTGGGCGTGTGCGGCCGGCTCCGAACCTGCCATACAGTGCCAGTTGAAATGTGGGTGTCGCGTAAATGACTGGTTTCCTTTTGGTTTCCCTTGAAACAACCCTAAGGGGTACCCTCCAAAAAGGATACCATGGCCTTAGTAAGGGGATGCTCCCCCAAACAGACCGGGGCCTTTGCCAGCAGACATCTACAATAAGGGCCTAAATACTTAGGGTGGGTTTGTGGGGTTGTGTTTCATCGGAGAACAATATGAGTCGCCTCTTGGTCACTTAAGTATAATGTGGCGTGGCTTGGCTTCCAAAAGAGACTCACCAAGCATGGGGTGCTTCGCTGTTGTTTCCTGGTATGCGGTTGTGGGATGATTCGCCCCTCCGAATAAGCACCAGCAAGGGAACCCTCATACTACATCCCATGTTAAACTCTTGGCCCACATCTGGGGTATCTACGCAGAAATGCAAGATGTTCAGATGCTATTTCATATGTAGTCACTCGGATATAAATTAGTTTCTTGCCCATCCCGCCTGGCTGACCCCGGCTTTCACCCCGCAGGATCCACCGGAGGTCACGGCTGGGCGCGAGGGCGAGGGCGAGGCACGGCGCGCGTCGTCAAGCTGCTTCCTGGAAGCCAAGGCCGTAGCTGTGAAGCCTAACCTTTGGGCATGAAATGTGTACGAAGCGCAAACGGGCATACCCAACATTCAGAGGAATACTAAATATATGTATGAAGTTATGTATTGTGCGAATACAAAAGCGCCTTCGAGCAGAAAACACCAAATGTTGGTCGTCGTTCGGAAACAATATCGTTGTGGAAAGGTAGCCCTGCTCATCTACTGTAAGATTTCCTGCTGTTTCCGCCCTTTTCCGTTTGTCTGCCTTTGTTCCAGGTTGTTCCGCCTTTGGAGGCACTCTACCCACGAAATCCCAAAACTTGTCGAAATCTGGAAAAAGGCCAGTTGAACCAAAAACAAATTTTTCTCGAAGTTGAACAGGGGCCATGCAAGGTAACTTGGAAACTATGCTTTGGCAATGGGCCTTGGGCAAGTTCATTTTTTCCCAGGGAAATCCGTGTAGTTGTTGAATTTTTGTATGTGGGATGGCAATGGCATAGAGCAAGTTGCCAACACCCAGTCGTATCATCTTAGCCTCCGACGAAAAAAAGGCTGGTATTTACCATGGCACAACAGTTTGTGCAACATATTGAGCAATTAAATTAAACATAGTTGGTACTTGCAGTGGGGTGTGTGTGTGTGTGTCTCCCTGCCCACGGGTGCCTCAGCTGCTTGTTCTGCTGCTCCAGAAACGCCACACGCTTCGCCAGTGCTGAGGCTGAGTATGGGGAGGCGTCACAGGCTGCAGCCGCAGCGCTGGCCAGGCTGGTGGAATCCTCAGACAAAGTTCCTACGAGGCACGGCCAGAATTACTTGTTCCCCCAAAGCAGGGATCCTTACATTATACACCTGAACATTGCCTTGCAAATGGTCAAATGGTGGTTTCCTTTTATTTTGGTGGAAAAAGCGGAAAAAGCCATGTTTCAAATGGGCAAAATGTATCTTTTAAGGAGCCCTGCAAAAGGACTGGGGGAATTCGGGAGTCCTCAGGGTTTTGTGGGACATTTAGTGAGTTCCCCCATACATCCCTCCCAAGTGGAGGATAGACTACTGGCACTCTCTCGAAACGTTCCGTTTGCCACTGAAATCGTCCGGACCTGAAAAGTATTAAGTCCAGAAACTCAGGAAGTCAAAAATAGTCCTTTCTGGCTTACAGGGGCAGGGCATGTCAGGTAAGCGGTTAGTAACCCTGGTCATAACCCACTCATAGCAGGTGCCCCAAGGGTTGAAGGAGCCTGTCCCAAAACGCCCTCAAACAGCCCAGTACCCATCGAGGATGATGTTGGTATGTTGAAAAGGTCAAAGTCCTAAGAAGGTGCTTGGGACCATAGGGAAAGTCAACCAGGCCCCCGGGTGATCCGTTTCAGAGATGGCCCGCCGCAGTTGAAGCCGCATGTTAAAGTCAATGTACCCGCTCATCAACATGAAAGTGCACAGACCCGCCCTTCTAAAGGACAGACTTCGTCCTCCAAAAGGGGCCTTTGCGCCAAACCATCTTTATTTAATCAAAAACGCGGAGTCATCCAGAGTGTCCCGGTGTTTCCCGAAAAAGTCAAGGACCGCCTCTGACATTGGACACGCCGCTAATCAACCAGGCGTGAAGTGTCCCGCCGACCTTGAGATCTCTTGGGCCCAGGTCCAAAGTTGTTCGGTGGCTTGATGCTAGCCCAAAAAGTGAATGACTTTTTGCACTGCGGGAAAGTTCTCATATTCTACAAGTTGCAGGGTGTTCAAATCCAGTCCAAGAATTCGCACAGGCACTCTCAACATACCCCGCATCAAACACCTGCGCCTCTGACCGAGTCTCGGAGACGCGCAGCTTCTCGCCTTTTCCGCGGCTCAGCGAGCGCCTGGCGGATGTCTCTGCCATACGGAAATGGGTCCTTTCCTTGGCCCAGGTTCGGGTTTAGGTTGAGGAGATAGGGTCTGGGGTACACCAAACATATGTTCAGATTCTGCATCATCAAGGATAAGATCATTTCGGAGGAGAGATAAGTTTTGGTGCATTCCTACGTGCCAAAGTCGGGATGCTTCAGGTTGGGACGTTTTGAATCAACGCCCCCGCAAAGAATCCCTAGAGGACTTTGGGTTTGGTGCCTTTTGATTAGTTGGGTCCAACTCTCCTTTTGCAAGAACAGTTCGAACTGCCAAGCATTCTGAAAATAGGGATTCTCCCAGCGAAAGCAATCATAGCATGAATATGAGTCTCCTGAACACAATCTCACTTGCAACCAAAAGACCTGGAAATAACCCGCCCAACAAAAATAAATACAAAACAACACACTAGATTTGAAGGAATCGCCCTTTCGGAAACCTGTATTTGGGGGGTCCTTCTGTCAATCTGCAGGAATCAAAGATTAACTTGCGTGCAAAGCCATCCAAAAGGGGTCTGAAGTTTTACAGAGCCTCAATTCAAAAGCAATCTCAAACATGTTGCTTAATGGCTATTGCTCCCTGTCAAAAGACATATCTTTGCAAGTAGGGTTGAACATAGAAATCTTCCTCACAGGAAGACGGTTCAAGATCCAACCCAATAGCATTCGTGTAAACATGTTAAAGCTATTGCTTCAACAGCCGCTGGCTTCCCTTTATAGACAACCAGGGTCTTGCGTGAAATCGCTTTTTTTTTTCCCGAACTCGTGATGGACGTCGCAAACCTCCGCCTCGTTGTAAATTGACCCTGCAAAACCTGATATTTTGAACCACTCAGAAAAGAGACATATGTACAAGGATCCCTGGTACAGCTCCCCCCCCAAGGGTATCCCCTCCAATCAGGATAGTTTCCATTTGCTTTCCAGTTGAAACTTAGCCAGACTTACGTCCCCTGCTAAAAACATGCTGGTTAGCAGGGGACCTGAAAGGAAGGGCAAAGGGCAAAACAGTAGCCAAGTCCGGCAATGAAAAGGTTTCGAAACGGAAAGCCACTTTGACAAGGGGAACCCACTACCACAATATCGCACAAGGATTGAGGATTTACTTTGAACAACCCAGCCTGTTGGTTGTTTTCCAATTTATTCTATTCCTCCGCGCCTCTTGGTCGCGGCACCGATGCCGCGCTCGGCGCGCAAGCGGCGCAAGGAGCAGGCCACGTGAGTGGGCAGAGAGGGCAGCGGACCCTCGGGCGGGTGCTTGTCCATGGGCTCCGTCCATGTGCCCTCCTCGAGCGAAAGACATGGTTGCGGAAATAACCCGCAATTTGTGATATCCAATTGGGCAATCCCTATACGAGCCACAGTCAAAATAGCTCGTTGCCTCAAAAGGACATTGGACAATGATTGAGTTCCCATGATTTTTGCAGGAAATTTTGCAGGGGATTTAGTTCATCCCCCCCATGTCCCTTCTGAATGGACCATAGTCCACCAGAAGTTTTGACCGAATCTCCTGTGACTACAGTCTCACTTAAAGAACTGTGTGGCCGCAACACCTCAGACGTCAGGTTCCACAGCCATGGCCGCAATTTTGCTCTAGGGACCGTTACCCTGTTTCTAGTGAAAGTCGGAGTCAGGGAAGTTGCTGGTTTTCCTGAAAAGGACAACTTGGGGACTTTGATAGTGATCGAGACTACTCACTTTCTGCGTGAACGGGCCAAACAAGTCCAAACTGTGTTTGCCGCCAAGACTGTTCAGGCCCCAAAAGCATCAAGCCCAAAAACTCAGGGAGTGAGACCACGTTGCTTTTGTTTGAGGATGCCTTTTTGAGGTGGTTTCAAATGGAAACCAAGAGGAACACACACACACTTTGTGGGGCTCCCTATTCAAAACACCCATGTCGCAGGGTTCCCTATAGTTCCTCCTCAAGCATCACCCCACCAAAACGAAACTCACATAATAATGGCACCCCTCAATGTGATGTTTAAAACATGGGGAGCCTTGTCCTCGTGGGTTCAACGTTGAAACCGGATGGAAGTTGGGCTGCAGCCCAGCTCCTGGATGCACCGCAGCAAGAGGTCCGCGTGGAGGTTCCGATCCTTCTGGAACAAGGGCTGCCGCAGCTTGGATAAAAGCCCCAGGCGCTGGGCCCATTGCTCTCCTGAACGAAAAGCCCGGGTCAGACAAGTCCCCCCCCTGTGGTTGTGGTCCTGTGGTTGGGTTGTGGTGGTTTCGGGTTGGTTTAGAATTGGTTTAGGGTTTGGTTTAGGGTGTATTTAGGGTTGGTTTAGGGTTAGTTTAGGGTTGGTTTAGGGTTGGTTTAGGGTTAGTTTAGGGTTGGTTTAGGTTTAGAGGTCTACGGTTTAGAGTTTGGTTTAGGGTGTATTTAGGGTTGGTTTAGGATTAGTTTAGGGTTGGTTTATGGTTGGTTGCGGGTTGGCTTGTCCTGGGGGAGGCGGTGTCGGGGTGTCGGGGTGCGAGTTCAGGGGGTCGGGGTGGGGGTGACCGTAGGTGCCAGGATCCGGGGGCTCGGGGTCTCGGGCCGGGGGGGGGGGAGGTCCTGGGGGACCCATACCATTTCGGGGGGGGGGGGGGGGGGTAGCAACACGGAACACGGGACCATATATATATATATGTATATATACACACCTATTTATGTGTATGTATATATATATATATATTAGTATTGTGTCCAAACCCCCTTGACTTGAGAGGGCATCCTCTAAATCGGCTGGCAATGGCTCTCATTTTAAAACTGCGGTTCCGAAGAACGGCAGAAACACAACCAACAGCCCCAAACAAAAATGCTCCCCGAAAGAGGACCTAGGAATTGGGGCCCAGCCTCTTGGTTTTGGTTGAGCTGTTGGGTGGACCCCCCCCCCATGTACTCCCCAAACCAGCAAGAGATTTGAGACCAAGCCGGAATGCAGGAAACTCAAGAATGTCCAGGCACAGGTTACTGGCTGGAGCTTGGAAGCCTCCTACTTCCGCTTTTGTCTTTAAGAGGGGTTTCAAGGGTCCCTGAACAAAGAAAACAATGGCGTGCTTAATCCCGGTGAGTCATCCCGCCTCCATCCCCATCTTGCAACCAATCCAAAGGCCTTGCAACCAGTCCGGGCTTCGCATCTCTGATTTTGTCCAACTTCAAACCTTGGAGAAGTAATGGTGAAGCATATTTGCCCCTCTCAAAAAGAATTCTTAGATCCCAAGATCCCCTCAAACATCAACTGTGGAAGGGGCACTAAGCTGTTGACAAGACGTCACTCTATTTCCGAGGGGCCCCGAGTAAAATGAGGTCGCCAACCGAAACCCATTTGATTTGCCCAAGTATACCCTTTCGGTGTTGATGCCTCGGATTCGGCCTGCCCCCAATCAACAGGAAACCAAAGGAAACGCTTCCTAGCAACCCTCAAATAATGGGTAAACACACACAAAGCATTGGTAACTGTTTTCAGTTGGCTAAAGGGAATGGACACTTCCGGTAGAATTTTCCTCTGCTGATCCTAATCTGAGGCGGGCGGACCAAGCGTGCTTCTGAGAATCGACATTTGCCCTGGCTTCTTCTTCCCGGCCTCGGATCCGTAAATGTTTGGGCGCCCCAGCCAACGACGCCTCCACCCGCCGCAGGGTGGCCGCGAATTCCGCGTCCAGCGGGTCCCCGCTGGCAGCGGCCGCCGCCGCGGCTGCGGCTGCCGAAGCGGCGGCCATGAAACCATTCCGAACCGGGTAGGTCTAAGTGGGTCTCAACCTGGGAACCCATGGGAAGCCCAAAGTCTGCTCGATTCGCTTTGTAGTGAGATATTGTGAAAAAAAGAATCACGGGCCAATCCCGGATGCCTTCCCAGTCCGTTTCGGATTGAAGCCAATTGTCCCACCCGAATCACAAACCCAGGCTCTGACATCTGCGCTTACACTCACTCTTGGACCCTAGACATGCGGGAGCAAACTCTGCGACAGCAAAGTGAGATTCCCATCCCCATTATTCTGTTACTAGGAGATCCTGGGTGACGCTAAACATCCTAAACTGCAAAGCTGAACCACTGTATCCGGAAAACGAAACAAGCAGCGCCCACTCCTCGGACTCGCGACTTTCCGTGTGTTTTGTCCTGTCGGGGTGACTTGCTGGGACTTGGGCCAGTCCTAAAGCTGGCAGTGCACGAAGTCGCATCAAAGATTGAGGCGGAAAGGTGAAAGGTGGTGGTCCCTCCGAGGGCAAACATGCCGTTGTGCGTCGTGGAACCCAGAGGTCCTTTCATTGGAAGGCACTTTGGATTTGTTGAGGAAAACCAGGCCTTTTGCTTTTTGCCCGAATGGCAACTGCATAAAGGTGCAAAGGCGGAACAAGGCCAACAAGGTCAACAAGGTCAAACAAGTCGTGATTGCACAGGCTTTGGGACCCGTACTTGGCTGGACCTGGACTTGGCCTGTTCAACGGTCCACTCATGGTCCCCATGATCGACCCCTTTGCGGACCGAGCCCAAGCAGCGCACTGCACATGACCATTTCTAAACGGACCCTGGCGATGAATCCCAAATGGTCCAAGTCCGTATAATTAAGGAGGTACAAGGCACCCTTGAATATCCTTGCTCACCTAGGTTCATGGTTCAGCGCCTTATCACTGAACCAGCTGTCTCTATTCGCAGGGTTGCCTATATTTATTACTTCCCCTTAACACATGGCCCTTGGCAGTTGCCCCAGCAAGGGAATCTCACAATAAATGGGCAAACAAGGTGTTTGAAACGACCAACACTTGAAATGTAACGAGCCCTCCTCAATCGAGAATCATTGGGCTCATGCCACGGTCGCTCCAATGTTTGCCTCTGCTCTGTCACCATGGCGAGAGAGCCAAAGTACTAGTTTGAGCGGGTGTCCTAAAATTAGGGTGCCCTTTTCTGGTTGGCTTTGAGGGGGAACCTCACCATTTGGGGTGCAATTCCTCTTTCAGGACACCCCACCTACAGCTTCGAGCAGCCTATCTATTCTTGCTGGAGACATGAGGACCACAGGGAACTGCACTGTGTGCTTTTCGTCCAGTTGCTTGAGACACCTCGGAAGAACCATTCACTAGTCATGACCATGTGAGTCACAATCAAAACTATCATGTGTGGACTTGCAAGATTATCATGCTTGGACTTGGGACCATCCCCTACTAATCTTTGTCTACCTGGGCTTTGATCGTGGTTTATGTCCATTTTAAACCAACAAGAAAACATCAAACTCAAACATCATAAGCAACTGCTCCCCAGCTGCCATGCGCTCTCTCCCATTGCTCTCCCAACTGGGGTGGGGTATGGGGTGGACGGTCAACGAGTCTTTTCCAGTAGCCTGCTTGGCCGCCTTGGTTTGGTGATATGTTGGGTTACCCAGCAAGACCAATTTAGGTGGTGTGCAGTCCATCCAGAAGCAACCAGCGGCCAAGCAACACAGGGTTCCCGAGAATTCTTCAACATCACCTCCCAGCGGGTGTCCAAAAAGCGGACATATAGAAACCGTAGAAATGGAACACCAGAAAGGGCCCCCACAGAATGAGCTTCCCTGTGACAGCATCAACTTTTGGCAGCTCCCGACCTGACATGAACAGAACAGCGAGAACATTGGGGTTTTCGGGAGCTTTGAACGTTCGGAGAAGTGGGATGGTCTCAAAAATTTGGGAACTCACAAACGGCACACCCAAAAAGGGTACCCTCAACAAAGACAAACCCCCAACTTAAGTCCTAGAGTTATTGATCCCACGCTTTGGAGGAGCAACACGAAGGCTGCGCACTTAAAAGGTGCGCACGTCTGTTTAAAATTCCGGTTGCACGGCTTTGGCTTCCTTGACATCTTCAGCAAACATTGTGCTGGCCTAGCGGACCTGCTGTGTCCACTAGCCGAAAAGAGATGAACTTCATGACAGGAAAAAAGGAAACCTAAAACGCAGGCCTCTCAGTTTCTTCTGAGGGCACCCTTTTCACCTTGGCTTACCCTTTTACCTTGGCTTAAAAGGAAAATCACCAGTTTGTGGGTCCCCCAATGGCAGCCAACTGAACAGGTCATCCTCAGGTAGACTATGTTGTTGATTCACTGGCTTCTGCGGGGAACGCCGTGCTTGCCCACTTTTCGTCATCGCCCAGGCCTCGACCTAGTCGATGCCTGTTGAAACCAACAAAGTCTGAAGTGAGGGATCGCCAAGCAAAGGACCTACGTCATGGTGAGCTCGTTTGCACCCCCAGGCGAGCTCATGACAAATCAAGGTAACCATGTGCTACATGAAAGAGATCTGGGCTAGGACCTACTACATTTATACAATTATGTGTTTTCCGGGAGCCTCGTTTGGTCTACACAATCGTGTTTGGTGGCGCATGAGTGGTGAACTATTGTCCAAACAGCAGACCCAAAGTCATTGCAACCCTGCTTTCTATTCTCTTCAGAAAGTCCGAATTGCATGGCTCAAAAGCTCCGCAAGGGCATCTCCAGGCTGCATACTGCATTCTTAAGGCTTCCAAAGACGCGCTCTCTGCCTTTTGGAGGTTCCTTACAGTTTCCAAGACATTACACCTAAACTTGTCAACCAACCACGGACGTTCAACACAGCAATCCAAAGAGAAATCTAACCCTATCACCTCATTGTGCTTTAGGAAGCCAGATTCGCGCTCGGAAACGTTGAAGAGATTGGGAGCGAAGCACTTCGCACCGGGGTTTAGCTTTGCCAGCACGTGATTGCTCAACCAAAACAATATGGCTATGCGTGTTAATAGGGAAGCACCTCTCAAGCTGCTGTTGGACATGAATCACCACCTAAATGATGTCCACCAATGATCAATGGGTCCCGTCTTAAAATCCACCCCAATCAGCCATATGTTAATTTTGATCCACATTGAGTGATTATAAAATGCAAAATCATGTCACATGAGATCCTACTGAAAGAGGGTCTCTAAAACATTTGTAGTTCCTTTCATTTCCCAAGATGGATTCTTGACCGACAAAGGTACTGGGACCCACTTTATGCAGGGTTCCTCACGTATCCACTTCAGCAATCACCCTGCCCAATGGACACTCACACACGATTGGCAGGCTATGCTTACATCTGCCCAAAGGCGAGAACTATAGTGAAGGATCTTGGTCATTTGCAGCTAACAAGAAATGGTAAAAAGCTAAACCCAGCTTCGCTGTTCCGGAGAAGCGCGACGCCTGCTCGATAGGAAAGCCATCGGGCTTTAAAAAGGGGCGTTTTGAGTCAGCCGAGAGCTTAAGCTTTCCTGACAAAGGTGTGCGAGTCGTTTCTCGAGTCTCCGGCAAAGCTAATCATCATGGTAGTTGATGATTGGAATGAGAACGCCCCAAACCAGGAGATACCTGCCGCGGGAGCGCAGGTCGCAAGCTGTTCATAACTTCACAGCATTCCCAACAAACGCGGAACTTGGACAAACTCCCGAAACAAGTAGTGCTTACATGGTCGAGCTGCCCTGAAACGGATTGCCAGCCCTCAGCCCTCAGCAAACAGGAGAAAAACTGACATGGACGGGTGGAGGACTCCACCAGCAATAGACAGTTGTACTTGGGGTAGGAAGTGCCTCACTGATGCGAAGCCACGGACAAAGATACAGTTCACAGTGGATAGCTCGTGTTGTTCGTGCTTGCGGGTCGCTCGGCCTCGGATTTGTTGAATAGCCCAGAGTATGTCGTGACAATCCAGGGAGACCTCGGATAGTCTCCAAGAACACTCAAAAGGAACCTGGACATCCATTGATCATGCTCTTTTGTCAAAATATTTTGCGCATGCTGCGCGTACCTGAAAAGGAGGGAGGCCTATATAAGATAGCCACTTGGACGAGCTACGACAACCACTGGCACCCCTCTAGTATGGGAGACAACATATATGGGCGAGGACCTGCAATTACAGCAAGGTTGACCAGTTGGTCCACTCGGTTCTGGCTTGCCAAAACTGCAAACCCATGTCAAGCAATTGTGTCCCGCCGGCGCCTTTCTTCCAGCATTTTCTTGAAGAAAACGAGGGGGGGGGCGGGCTCCAGCCAGCCTTTTGGGGTAGGTCGGCTCGTTGATGTTTTCAGCCGATGAAAAATTGAGTCATGGCCAAAATCTGGTATGAAAAAAACTGTACCCCAAACCGTGGAAAGAATTGAAGGGGCGGCCGCACTCATGTCTGGTCGGGACTGTCTCCTTTTACCCTCCAATTACATCCAACTACCAAGGCTCAAACGATCGCATTCTTCGAGTGACCCAAATGGCCGAGCTCAACTGGGGGGGGTCGATTGGGGAGACCAGAAGGCTTCTCAGGTCTGGACGAAATTAGGTTGAATCCGTGTTTGGGTTTGCCTCGACATGGCTCCATGATCTTCTGGGTCTTGTCTCATTTCCCAGTGGGCCTGTTGCCCTTCCCAAAGGGGACTTTAGCCCATTTTGAGGCAAGTTCAAAAAGCCACAGTGGGCTTTAGCCCATTTGGGGACAGACCCAAAGATGGCGTTGACCCATGTTGAGAACGTCCAAAAGAGAGTGTTCAACCCATTTGGAGACACACCAAATAGGGGGAGATAATCCTCTTGCTCGGAAAACACCAAACTCGAGCCGGCAGCGCCACAGGTTCGCGAGGAGCGCAGCGTAGACACCCTGACTTGTTCGGCAATGAGTGGGATGTGAACCTTGATGCTAAGGTGGTTTCCACTACCCTCAAACCAAAGCAAATTCTGGGATTCCATGGATTATACCCCCTAGCAAAAAGTATTCAATTAAAGCCTAGTGGGGAAGCTAATCATGTTCAACCTAAAAGTGAAAGGTTACAGATCCAACTCAGCATTCAAGCCACAGATTCTCTAAACACGCGGCCTAGCCTGTCCATGCCCAGTTCGCATCTCATAGACACGTGACTTCGTTTCTTTGTGCTGTCCCTTGGCCGGTTGACCTCAAGGTTGGTTTCGTTTGGTGTGTCCCTAGGCTTTGCAAAAAGAGGGATACCCAAGGAAGGATTCCCAAAGCCAAAGGCTACGTCCACATGATCCATTGCGATGTCGGCAAATATGTTGGGGCTTGAACCCCCGAGTGGAATGAGCCAAGGAAACTGTCGAAACTGTTGGTTGCCCACAGTGATCTTCCCAGGTCCATTCAAAACCCGTGAGTGAGAGATTTCACTGGACAATGGCATCCGAAGGTCCTTAATCATGGGTGCGTTACCCAATGTGGGATGCGTCCCAAAAGGAAACCAGCTTTTGAACAGCTTCAAAGCGCAAAACCAAAGAACTGTCCCCGTCCCCTGTCAATGCAAGTCATAGGTGCCAAGACTTGGCATTGCCACCCACACTACCCACAGGGCGAAAGATATCCCAATTACCTTCATGGCATGCTACATGGAGCCTCGAGCGATTATCCATTGATTTCTCCAGAGGTCGAATTATTCAAAGCCGCCTCAAAGGCCTAATTTACACTCTTTCCCGTGCTGTCCAATACACAGCCCCCCCAAACAGCTTCAATACTCGTTCTGTGCGATAGCCTTAAATCCGCAACTTGTACCACAATCCTTGTTCCCCACCAGCAATATGGAAGGGGGGGTGCCCCAACATGAATCTTGCTGTTCATCAAACAGGAACCCAAAAGGAAACCAAGCCGCTAAAGAGAACCTCCATAGCCGCAGGACACCCCCATTGTCAGACTGAGACAGCCAAGTTCGAACACTGAGCGCTTCGAGGCAAAAGTCGGGGTGAACCCCGAAATGGATCATGCATAGGTGGTGCAAGAACTGAGAAGTATAAGCATAATTCAGATGGGATTTATGTGTGTGTGTGTGCGTGTTGCGTCTACTTTCCTGAAAGAACAACAAGGATGCCGCAAGGTGTGTGTGTTTCAGCCACTCGCCACTTGCCTTCCTGGCAACTTCAGGTGGGAATTAGGCTGGCTCAGATGGTTCACATTCCCTTGTGTGCAAGCTAAAGGGAATGAACAAAAACTAAACCCAGAGGTTGTGCCATTTTCTTTCGCCCAACTGTAGATTCGATTGGAGTTTGGGCAAACTGTTGAGCGGGGGCCACGCTGTCGCAAGCTGTGGGTTCCCAAATGATGCATTCTATTTCAGCTTAGGTCAATAGACCACGATGCACTCAAGGGATCTCAAGTATGCAAGAAGGACCAAACCACCCCCCCAACCAAAGACCTCCCCAATCTGGTCTGGCCTTAGATGCTTTCATTTGCCCACTAAGGCTTGCTAACCTCTGAGCGATAGGAGCTTTCGAGGGGGAGGGGTGGTAGGGTCCCTGAATGCTGTACTGCTGCACACTGACATGCGATCGATCCTGTAGATCTTGGAGCGCGGCAGTCAACATAGTGCAAAGCCAGTTCATCAGCAATATGCAATCGCTCCCCTTTGCGTTGGCCCAGCAATAGGACTGAGCGTTCTTGTATTTGAACAAGGCCTTGGCAAGCTCCGCAAGGCAGCTGTCTTTTAGCGCGTTGAACGCCACAACTTGAAATGACCGTGTGCGGCTGCAAACTTGTCCTCGAGCGATCCCGGGCCAAAATCGCCTGCCCCCAAGCAAAGCAGGCATGATGCAACTTAGTCCCCCGCTCAAAAAACGCACACCCATATGGCCCATATTTACTTGGTCCAGGCCTGGAAGCTTTTGGAGCCAATCTCGACTCCAAAGATCGCAGGCTTCACGTCGTTCTGCCTGGCGAGGGCGAACTTGCGGGCACAGGCAAACAAATCCCAAGGATCATCAAGCGGAACCTGATGGCCATCACCCCCTTCTCAAAAAACCTTAACATTTTGCGGGTAAGGGATAACATCTATTTGTTCCCAAAGGTCCGATCCAAACCAACAGCCTTCAAGGCAAGGTAAACTAAATCGGATCAAGGATCCCCAAAGGGAAAGCAGTCTTCCAAAGTCTCTCTGTCAACTACCATGCCGGAGAAGCTGGCCAGATCACCTGAAAATACGCAAATGGACAAAAGTGGTTTGTCCCAATATTCCTGCGGGGTCCATCCGTCCCAAATGGTGCAACATGTTGTCCATCCACAGCACTGGCTTCTCAAAAGGAGACTTCAGTGGATCCACCTTTAGAACTTCCCAACTCTCCATTGGCCCAAAAGATCCGTCCAGCCTCATTCGCGCTTGAGAACCCCACCGTACACTCCGCGGACCCAAGCTGGGTCCAAATGCATTCCAAGGATGTACTTCCCCCCACCCACAAAAGATGCTAGGGAACATGGACCAGCATGGACTCCATGGACCCTCTGCCAAAACGTGTCCGGCTGGGCTCTAAGAGGGAGATGACTCTGTCGATCATGATCATGGCCTCAACGCTGGATACTCCAGTTCAGCCGGAGTCATGTCTGGGGTCGCAAACCACTTGGAAAGGTCCCATGTCCTGGATTGGTTGTCTCGGATACAGCAAATAAAATTGTCTACTCGACAAGGTGGCCCCAGTTGTTGCTGCTCTTCGCGGGGGCGCAAGGTTCACACCAGCAGCACTAAGCTCGCAGCACCGTCCATGTCATGCTCGTCCCCCCTCTCGGTGGGCAAATCCTCGGCTGATGGACAAAAGGATGTGTCGGGTTTGGGCCTTACCCTCAATTAGGGACTTAAATGGTTGCCCAAGGGTTCAAGCAAGTATACCGGTGTTTCTCAAATTGGGCCACCCTAAAATGGTTGGTTTCCTGGCCATTTGCTTGTGAATACCAACCAAAAGGGGTCCGCGAATTTGAGAAACTCGCATACCTTGAAAGGAGGGGCACTGTCCGAAAAAATCAGGTTTCACTTGAGTGAATTGCCCAAACAGTCTAAACCATTTGTGCACCACGCAGTTGGGTAAAAGTGGATTCATCCCCTTTACTCGCATAATGGGAATTGTGCCATTCACTTTCAGCCTCATGGACATATGGAGGAGATTCCAGATCTTTGGAGCCAGCCCAAGGTGAATTCCATGTTTTGCCTATCCCAAAGCAGATTCCACGTTCAGGTTACCCCGAGACTGAAACAACGAGATCGTCCCCCTGTTTGGAGGATGTCAACCACCATCGTGTTTAGGTCTACTTTCCTTGGGACTCCATAGTTCATGGTAGTTCAAATCGCCTACGTCCGGGTGAGACCCAAACGAATCGTACTTGCTCAGTGAGCCCCGTGTGGAAAAAGGACTTCCCTCAACCAAAGGGTTTGCCACAACCAGGTAATCCTGGCACCGCCAGAGCTTGGACTATCGACCCACTGAGAGGGAAAACGGCTCGGCTATCCTGGGTTAGCGTCCGAGCAAGTGGACATGACATGTTTAAATAAACGCCAGGCAATGAACAAGCGAAGTTGAAGCCAACCAAAGGCCAGGCACACAGCTTAGGGATTGGGGTGGCGAAGAAGACAAGACAAGGGGGTTCTCTGGCCGAGCTCACGCCTTAGTGGCGCAGCTCCAAAGACGGCCATTTGCAGAAGGTACGACTTTGCAGCCGCAGCTCGCTGCTTTAGGGTGGCGGCGCCATGTTGGAAGAAGCCGATGGGTGCAAGCAAGCTGAGCGGCCCGTGCGAGTTTATCGTCTTGGGCCTTCTCGCGATGATTCTTTTCGACACCAAGATGCCGTTTGCCGATGGAGACAACCTGTGTGGGCCTCGCGCCTCTCCCTTGCGTGCGGGCCCCACGGTTGAATTGCCCCTCTTATTCAAGCAAGGCCGCTCTTCTTGGTATTATCGTTTCTCTGGGTCAGTTGGTTCCCTGAACAGCTACAAGTCTTGATGAACACTCGAACAAATCTGGGCCGAGCCCAAAGACTCCCATAGACCGGCCAAACATCTGCAATCAGACCTGAGTCAAACCGTTGCCTCCCCAATGGCTCCCCGGACTCCCCAGTGCTCCCGTTGCCCTCGGACCCCTGGCGCGCGAGACTCTCTTCTTCGACCTCAGCGAGGCTCGCGTGTGGGATCTCCGATGTTCCACTGGATGGCTTCGACCACCCCACAACCAACCAGGGGGAAAACGGAGTAGATACCGTCAATATAGTGGCTAGAGGATTGATCAGACAAATAGTACGGCTAAGCTTCAAGCCCACAAACTGGGGAGCCCAATGGATCCAGATGGATCCAGTTACCACTGTAGGTAACCAAGATTCAGGGTCGATACGCGGGGCTGCTCCTGAACCTCAGGCTTTACCCGACAAATTAAGGAAAACGGAACAAGGGGGTAGGAATGTCTGTGCAAACCCTAACTAAGGATCCCTCTTGCCATTCGGGGCGCGGTTCGGGTGACTCAACAAGATAGGCGGCGCAAGACGCCAAGTCCTGCGCGACTGTTGGCGTCCGGCAGGGTTGGGTCAAGCCCACAACTCTACATGTTTGAACCACTATTGCATGAACAGCCTCCTTCGGGTTCCTCTTTAAAGGGGGCCAGGATCTGGTTGGTTAAACACGATTTGCCCAACCCGGGCATCCAATAAGTGCCACATCGAGCAAGATCTTCCCAACCCAACAATTGGCGAGGTTCACGGTGATCTGCAAACGAGTTGTGCTTTTTTTTCGGCCCCACCTGGCATGTCGAACAAGTGAACCAACAAAAAAGTAAAACAGGGCGGCTTGTCTAAGAGCGCGGGACATTTGCATTTGACTGCTGAATTGCTCTCCTGCAGTTTGACATGGAGCCCCAAAGCACATCATGCTGAACTAAATATCCTTGCAAAAAAAAACAACGGAAACAGCACAACGCATGCCCCGGCCATATTGACATTCGTGCTCCTGAAACGTCTGAACCGACAAGGATGCTCCTGAACCGTGTTCAAAAAGGTGCAACAACAGGCGATCCACCAGAACCATTAAGGGCGTCTGCTTTGGCTACTATAAAGATTGTTATAGTTCGCCCTGACAGGGTTTGGCCCAAAAAGCAACTACCATGACATGACCGAAGGAGTAAACCTTCGAAACCAAAAGCTGGCTGGAATAGAAGAATCCGCGGCCCAGCGGCTGGACGTTTGCCCTTCCCCAGCGTTGCTGCTGGTTTGGTGGAAAAGAGTGGTGTGCCATCGTCTTTCCAATTGACCAAATCTGCATTACACCCGAGTGGGAAAATGAATCCCCTCATTCCAAAGAAGTCAGGGGTTAGCTTGTGAATGATTTTGGCTCAAGCCCTTGCTGTTCAGCCATCAAATGAAAATCACTGTAAGTAAAAGCATCAGGGTTGCTCACAAAAATAGTGCCTTGCGCATCCCCAAAGTGTGAGAAAGGCATAGCCAGAACCGCCCGCCCTTTTGGAACCCCCTGGGCCGCGGGCGGTTGACCTGAGCGCGAAGGATGCGCGTGAAAGGCCCAAACAGCTTGGCTTTGTCTGCCCAGGAAATCTGTTAGAAACAGAAACCCCCAAAACGGGTTCGCTCATGTCTAGGGAACCCAAGAACATAAAACTCCTTCAAAAGTTTGGGCACTGCCAGCACCATAGGAAGGCACGACTAGAAGGCCATCTCAATGGTTCATTCGTCACAAGGGGCTCAAAGTTCCCTATGGTTTCCCTCATTTTTCCCAACATCCCTGATTTGTACTGAGACGATACGGCCGCAGTTTACCCAGAGGTGCGCATGTTGCAAACGGATGCACTGAAGTGTAGGTGCACTAGAGGAAGAAACCTTGAAAACAAATTCGGGCGCAAGACTTGCCCAGAGTTGACTCCCCAAGATGAGGAGGACGCCTTGTTGACTTGTCTGGGGCAAGCAAGGCAAACTTGGAATTCCGAAAAACCAAACTATTGGCTATTTAACACCCAGCTACAAATGGAACTCTGGTCACGAGTCAAGTCCTATCACAAAAGTTGAAACAAGAATGCCACAAACCAAACCTGGATTGATTCCTTGTGTGGTTCTTTTTTAGCAGCAACTAGTGCATTAGCTTTGCAACTTCATGACCAGCCCAGGGAAACATCACAGTGCCAGTCTGCAAAAACACATCATGGAACCTACCTCAGATTCCTCTAGAATCTAGACCAGGCCAAACCAAGCAACAAACACTCCCCTAAATGAAGAGGTGCACAGTGGTTTCCAGACTTGTGTCGCTTGAAAAGGCTCTCCTTGGCCACTCACAAACAGTGACAACACCAACAATTGTCCACAGCCATGTACTCCTTGGCTCCACAATTACCAAGCCAGTTTAGTTTGTTGTGAATCTAAGTGCATCTACAAATAGGTATATAATATATGTATATACATATATATATTGTTTAGAATACACACCAGTTGGGCAGAGAACATGCACTCCGTCGCTGGGTCATCGACGCTCCACAAATGCGCCAGTCTCCGTCTCCATGGCAGAGGCTTTCTGCGCGCGGCAAGCGGCAAGCGGCAAACACGCCGCCGGACCCATTGCAACCGAGTCGCAATCAAAACCCGGCCTGAAAATTGTCGACCCAAAACCAGAATCCAAAAGGCAACCCTGGTCCCAAAAAGCACAAAGTCCAGGAACTCAGTGAGCTATCACAGCTCCGGCCCTCCTCCAACTTGCATACGTCGCTTAAAGTGTGGCGTTCCCAAAGTGGGAAGACCCTCTTTGCAAGTTGGAGGAAGTGCACTGGGTCCATTAAACATTTTGAAGAGTAAATTTGTTTTTGGTTGAATCACCCCAAGAGTTTGTTTGAGACTTGAGGGACCCAGTCAGAACTTCAACAACAGCCACCAGGGTCATATTGAAAGGCCACATGGGTAAAACAAATAACAACTCAGGAGTAAGGGCTTTCTGAAAAGCACCGTCATGGGACATAACACAACCCGCTGTGTGAGGTCGCTATAATCTGCCCGGAAAAGTCAAGACCAAAAAACAGGTAATAAGCAACCCCAAATGGGGGTACCATGACCCCTTAATTTGATGGCCATAGCTCCTGAAAAGCTTGACTTCTTGCAGGTTAGTGGAAGAAGACAAAGTTCCCCGTAAACAAACAACTGTCAACAATTCCAACCCCATAGCATTCAAGCTTGTAGGAATCTTCTTTCTGGGGATCCCCCTGTTGGGTTCCTTCCGTTCAATTGCAGGGGAGCAGTCCTGTCACGCGAGGGATTATAGTCGGCGATCAAATGGGGCTGTGCGGTGCCTTGAAACTACATCTAGCCAGGATCTAGCAGAAAACCAGTATTTATCTAGTGCCTTATACTTGCTGGTTCTCAGCAGGGAATGAGGGAATTTAGACCCAAGATTCATCCACTTGTAGCTTCCCTTATGGGGCATCCAGTGGTCAAGCCTTCAGGCACTTAGCATGCTCCAGGCGCAAATGCGCCATGCGCAGCTGCCGCACCTCGGAATGCGACGGAGCGAGCGACGGATCGAGCGAGGGCACAGAATCTCTCAGGTCGTGTTGAGTGTGTCGTTCTTGTTAAGAAAATTGGGGGGGGGTGCATTGCGACGTTGTTCAAACTCTAGAGCAACAGCCAAATATGGATAGTTTGCAAGTCACATGTTTTGTGGGGACAACAATCTAATGTTGATACCGAGAAAAGTACCCTGCGGATTGTTGGGGGCGTTTCTGGTCCAGATTCGAGCTAAAATGGATGCACTGTGAATCGACCCGGGCTTGTGAATCCTTGCGCGTGGCGGCGACCAGCCTGCAACTGTCCTCTGCTAAACGCAAACGAAACCAGGATCAAGTTCCCGACGTCGTCGGGGAGCTGCTCTGGTATCAGCTGGATCAAGAGATACTCGCCCTCCCACTCGCCGAGTGGCTCGTTCATGCGAGCCTTCAGTGAGGCCATTGGGCTCGACTCCGCAGTAGCGTGTTCCCCAGCGGTGCCTTGTAGAACGCCAGGTATGCCAAGTCACAGGCCGAGAATATAATTGCACTAATGATTCTTTGAGGACGTCAAACGCCTGAAGCAAAGAAGTTGTCATCGACTCTGGCAAATAGTGTGGCTCCAGCAAAACGTTACTTTTGGTTGGTTGCAAGCAAAATAGGGAAACCCAGAAAGGTAAAATGGCAAACGGTCAGCCGAGCTTGGCAATGTCAACAATCACCCTAGAGAAGCTCTCTGTAAATTACCCTCCCCAAACGGTCATGTTCATCATACATTGCCCTCTTTAATGGGGCAAATATGGAACCCTGCGATGGTTCGGCTCCTTTTCTCAACGCATGGCCATTGGGCCCCTTTGCGGTGGCGGCCACGAAGTCTGGGTAACCTGAGTCCAATTGAAACCTGATGCTACAAGAGTCTACCCAAAGCCATATAAAGAAATAGAAGGGCGGATGTCCGCACCTATGTATTCATACCCACAAAACATACGTGTCGCCCACAAGGTCTTCTTATGCTGTGTGATCGTGTTGGCAAGTTTATAGGGTTTAGGTTTAAGGTTTTTAGGGCTTAGGTTTAAGGTGTTTAGGGCTTAGGTGTATGTTTGTTGGGTTTATGTTTAGGGTTGTTTGGGCTTAGGTTTGTTTAGGTTGAGGGTTTTAGGGTTTAGGTTTAGGGTTTTCAGGGTTTCTACTGTTATTTTAGGGTTTAGGTTTACGTTCAGGGTTTAGGTGTATGTTTTGAGGGTAGGGTTTTGAGGGTTTTTAGGGTTTAGGCGGAGGGTTTCTTGGTTTAGGTTTGCTTGGAGCAGGCTGACCGGTGCATCAGGGTCAGGGGCTGGCTTTTGTGGTTTAGATTTAGGGTTGTGTTGGCGATAGCAGTATATAACCAGGAAAAGCCCCCGCGCTCCATGAAGGGGGTATGGAGCATGAAGCTGGGGTGGGGCCCGGGGGGCTCGGAAATGCGTTTTTGCTGCGCCTGCCACGCTTTTTGGAGGTCTCGGGGACCCGCTTCCGGGCGGTCGTGGGCAACACATACGTTTTGGCCGTATTTATAGCAAGGGGATTGTCCCTTGTTACCTTCATCTTTCCGGGTTTGATTGTGCCTCTGGGGCTCATAAGAGTCGTGTGCCTAAAATGGGGACCAAACCAAGAAGTCAAAAAGTTTAGTGAGTGCTCAAACCATACTGGTTTCGGCAGCCTCCTTTTGACTTACACAATGTTTCGCCCACCCCGTAGCTGCAAGAGAATTGGGCACATGCGCAAATGTATTGCAAAGGGTTTTCAAACATTTTCTATACCTTGCTTGCACCACAAAGGAGGAAGGTTTGGAACTATCTCCTGACAAACTTTAGGGCCCCATGAAGTGCAAAACAACGAGGTGACTTGGGGGATGACCTAAAAATGTCGGTCAGCATCGACTATCTGCGTGAGGGCTTGTATTCCTTTACGGTGGCCGGGCAGGAAGAAGGTTGGAGTGCGGGGTATGATTCGCGGGTATGATTCGAGTTATGATTCGGTGTGTAGTTGGTTGGAGTAGTAGTATTTGTGGTAGTAGTTGTTGTTGTAGATAGCAGTAGTAGTAGTAGCAGCAGCAGTAGTAGTAGTAGTAGTAGTAGTAGTAGTAGTAGTAGTAGTAATAGTAGTGGTATCAGTAGTAGTCGAGTGATAGTAGACGTAATCGTAGTAGTAGCAGTAGTAGTACTGGTAGTATGGTCGTAGTAGTTGTAGTAAGAAGTCGAAGAAGTAGTGGTGCTACTAGGACTAGCAGCAGCAGAAGTAGTACTGGTCCTAGTAGTAGTAGTAGTAGTCGTCGTCGTCGTAGTAGTAGCAGTAGTCGTAGCAGTAGTCGTAGTCATACCAGTAGTAGCAGCAGCAGCACTGGCGGTAGTGGTGCGGAAGGTTTGTAATAGTCTTGGCACAGAGTTGAAGCCCGTTGTCCGGGTATGATGCGTGGGTATGATTCGGCTAATTGTGCAACCTTGATTACGAACGCAAATTGATGAATGCAGTACTAGTAATGGCAATTGTAGGAGTAGTAGTAGTAGTAGTAGTGGTGGTGGTGGTGGTGGCAGCAGTATTCGTGGGAGGTAGCGCAAGTGGCGGTTGCGGAGCGGTGATCAAAAAGTGGAAGACAAGTAGCAGCTTGCGGCATATGCTTCGCGGGTATGATTCGCCAAGGTCCCACCTTCGGCTTTTCGAGGCAACTCAACACAACAAAAAAGACAAACCCATGTATACTGTATACTCGATCCCATGTATTTGACAGATCCCTCTCTGGCCATCGAAGGGGTGATAAGCATCCCAATATTATCATTTGGTCATGGTTCTCCCCAAAAACAATCATCAAGGGTGACGTTGCAAACCCACCCTCTGCGAGGCCGCGACGTGGGCGTCCTCTAGCTTGCCGATCTCTAGAAGGGTTCCTGGCACCAAAAAGGGGGCAGTCACCACACTCCATGGCCCATCCCCTGTTGATCAAGGCTGGCTACAAGTTTCCGTTTACCCATATCCCCCCAAAAGGAATCTCACTTTTTAAATTGGCCGAAAACGTGATGTTCAAAGCCATCAAAAGGGGAAACATAGAGCCCCCCTTTCACCCACTCCATAACACATTCCCTGTGGATGCTCAATGTGACTTTGCCTGTCGGTATGCGTCAGTATCTGTGTGTACACATATCGGCAAGAACCTTTTTTTTTTAAAAAATAAAAATAAAAATAAAACATGTTAGGACAGGACGGAAGGAGACACAAGGTTTCAAGTCTGGCTTGCAGCATCGTAAACTGACACGCCTTCTGAACTCAGGATACAGAATACAGCCCGTACCCACTTGTTCCAGAACAACAGTTCTTTTTTGCGGTATAAAACTGTTGCAGTGTGGGGAAAAGGGTGCCTCTAGTGGCCGCACCGGGTTTACAAACCCCTGGCTTGTTGGCAAACAATATATTTCTATATATTACTATTAGAGCCCGCACCCGACACGTGACCAGGACAGAAACAACAAAACCATCTCAACGACCTTGAAGTGAAAGAAGGGTAAGGGCACGTGATGTTCTGAAGCGAAAGCGTCCAAGGGTCGGGGGTGTGCCCTGAAAAAACTCATGGGCACCCATTACTAGATAGTTTGTGCGATGAGCAAATGGTCTTCCTTGGCTCGTTCCTGAAAACCGGGTCCGGAGAGCACGATCTGGATGCATCAGCATTGTCGAGCCATCCCAAGGTTCCATGTTTGCCTTGAATTGATGGTAACGTATGTACTTCTGTATATATGGAAGCACGGGAACGCCCCAAACCAGTGGTTTCCCTTTGGCTCCGTCTAAAAGCGCCCCAGAAAGGGTTCCTGTGAAAGAGGACATCTCCATATATGTTTGCAACAATCTTATTGCAACCTATGGCGACGCAAACACACCGCCCCTGTGCGATCAGGGTGGGAAAAATATGGAGTGGTGGTGTTGGGGGATTCAGGGCTCAAACTATTTCCTTAGAAGGCCAATGGACCTTTAGGACATCAATCCCACCAGCCTGAATTCAAGCATCCCAAGGCAACCTTCATGGCCCGGAAGCGTTCCCCATATCCCATGTCAGTGGTCTCTCTATATTTAATCCAAACACATTTGGGCGGTAAAGCTTTGCCGAAACCTAGAAACTGTACGCATAAGATCATTGTGTCAAATTGTGTCCCCATCGCGAACCCGAGCTGACCTGTTGCTTCTAAAATGGCACAAGGGTGTATATAGGCTACCGTCTATCATGATGGGCCTCATGAGAATCAGTGTTAGACATTTCGGCGATGCCCCATTTCCTGATGGCATGTGTATATTGTCCCATGGCCTTCCACTTGCTACACAACACAGTAGATGTTGAGCCTTGCTCGCATCTATCTCATCTTCTGCCCCCCCTTTAAAAAAGGAAACTAAGCCAACAACAAAACAGCACATGTTTGTTCTGGTGCATGGAGATCCCGTACGCCGCACCACCGCAGGCTGGGGGGCTGGGCGCAAGAACACCCCCACGAAGATGCAGGACACCAAGGCGGACGCCACAACCTCAGCAAGTCCCAAGCCGCTTCGCTGGGCTCTCACAAGGCTCGACTTTCACGTGTTTTTCTCCTATGCTTTTGTTTCCAAGGGAAACCAGGGGAAACATTGATCTATCAACTCGATATTTTGAGCTGCCCTGGCCCGACCAGCTGGGTTGAAAGACTGCAAGCCTCCCAACGGTTTCCTCATATTGCTCCAGTCTGATGATGATGAAGAAACCCGCAAGCAAAACGCTTAAAGCGTGCGAACTGAACAGGTAAACATTGCTGCCATGATAACTTCAACAAATTGAACGCGCAACCCTTATCATTAGTGCAGAATGCTTGATGTTGGCTTGACGTTGGCCAATCCGCATTTCCATAATCCCTGGTTTTGTGTGTTGTGGAATGACTTAAAGGCCAGCTTCCTTTTGTAGCCTAAAAATCGCATGCCCACGTTGATACAGTGCCATGTTGAACCCAGGGGAAGATCTTTCGCAACATGAACGTTGAGCGCCTCCTTTCTTCAGGGGTCGGGTTTGGCCATCTGCCACTGACATGACAATGCTGCACGGTGCAAATACGCTGTTACCGTAAAGGACATAGGCATGGTGTTTGTGGGAGCTTCCACATGCCCCACATATTCCCCCAACACATCATAGATGTAGCCCAAACCTCGCTTTGTTGCCACAAACCTCTTCCAGACCCAAGAAGTGACAAAAGTCCAGGAACCCAGGGAGTGACTTCAAGTCCCAACGTGAGGGTCGACTAAACCCACGCGTTCCGGAAGCTGGGGGCTGCGGCCATGAGCGAGGCCCCCCCACGGCTCGTAAGGCCAAAGACCTCGGAACCGGAGGGTCCAAGTCGGTGTGAGGGGTACAAGGGTCAAAAGAAGCCCCCTCCAAATACCCACACCTTTGCTAGGGGAAGCAGAAACCCTGAGCAACAGAGGAGGGATTAGTGTGGAAAGCCCGGCTTTTCAGAGTATGCCCTGAAAAAGCGGGCATGTGCAGTAGGGGTTCAAGGGGAGTTAGGAACGGGTGGGTGCTGCACCTTGGACCCACACCAAAGCGCCAAAGGTTGACGCTTAGCCATGCCCATCGAAAGTCTCCGAAGGTTTGGGGGACTGCGGCCATATCTTGCACAGATTCGGTTGAAGGTGTCCAGTCGCGTTTATATTCACCCGCTGCTTATCATGGCAACATTCAGTAACATACACGTGTTTGCGGGGGATTCAGGCTGCAAGGTTGGTGTCTTAGAGCCAAAGCTCCTTGTTAACTCGCTTAAACACCCACTTCAAGGACATCTTTGACCAAACTTGGACCCCCTGCAAAAAGTTAGCTTGTTGCTGGTTGAAAGGGAAACATGAGCACCAAACAGGCAAAACATGAAACAGGTAAGCTATGTTTGGTAATGAAACTAGCTGGGTATGGGGCTGGACCTTGTGGTGGACATCAGACTAAGAAATTTATGTCCACCACTCGGGTGTGTCTTAAAATTGGTGTTTCTTCTTTTTGTTGCCCTTTAGCCAACCTCAAGATGGGCACTCCTTATAAAGGGTTCCCTCATGTTCCCTCAAAAGTCACACCCCCACTCATGTCCACCAACATCACCAACCATGTCGAACGTGTTCCACATGAAAACCCGCTCGCGGACACTTCCCTTGCTTCGGCCCGTGTTGAAAGCACCTGGGTAAGGAACACGATCCAACTTGTTGCCAGTCTGTGGGGAAAATCTACGTCCTGAGCCTTTTCTGATCTTTTCTGCCTGCATCACTCCCGCAAAGGGTGCCACATACAACATGTTACTACAAGTTGACCCAAACATAGGAATCATGTTCATGCTACAAAGATAAAAACATCAAAGGCAACCGCCGCAGCCGGTTCCTTTGTCGCGTGAATAGACATGTTTCGGAACCATCCAAGCTAAAACCACTGGACAAAGCAAGTCTGACCTTCTCGTGTTCAGTATAAAGTCCAGAAACGCGGGAAAAGAGTGCTGCGCATACGGCTGGCTGGTCAAGATTTGCCCAGATACTGCCCTCCGCAAGTTATGCATCCCCCGAAAAGGGCGTCCAAAAGGACAGTCCTCTAAAAATTGATGCTTGCACCTCCCACTGTTGGGTTTACGAGGTGCCCGAAATCACTGGGGAAAGAACAAACAAACCTCACAAGATGCTTGGACCCAGAAAGAACAACAGAAGGGGGACCAATCCTGGAGGGGGCAGAAATGCCTGAGCAGCCCAGCAGACATCCCGCGCTGCCGCAGCTGGGAGATCTGCGGCAGAAACACATCTAAATGGTTGCCCCGTGCATCTTCAAAACCCACAAGGCACCATTTGGAGGGGTCTTTGTTGGTCCTTTTTTGTCTTTTATTCAATGTTTTTTTTCGGTAAACCAAACAAAACCATCATTGTGCAGGTTCCCCTATTCCCTTATGTTGAGACACGCCTATTCTCGGAGCCCAGACATGTTGTTCATAGGTCATAGGCTGGGAGGCTCGTGCGTGGGTAGGTGGGTGGGTGTGTGTTCGGAGTGGTACCTGGGCCGATCTCGTTCAACAAACAAAAACATGGCAAACCAACGCCCATTTGCGGGGATGCCAATGAGGTGTTCCTGCGCCATCGGCTGCTCATGTTGAGATAAACACATAAACGTAGTGGAAAAGCAAGCCGTCCTTCTGGGAACACCATGTGGCTTTGCTTCAAATCGGCAAACGTCAAAGTGGCTTCCTTTCGTGGTTCCATGTTGAGCCACTCGAAAGGGGCTACCCCAAATATCTTAGCCCTACCAGCTTTACCTCCCCTATTCCTTCCCGCAATCTTTTGCGGCAAACGTTCCAACACATGGGTGCTTTCAGAATCTCAACTGACATAAACAGGAACATGTTGTCTGCTCAGTTCCCCAGATTGGGACAGAAGGTCAGACTTGCAACGGAAAGGCTCGTCGACTCTGGCTGGAGCTCTTGAAAACCTGCTTCACATTCCAACTCCAAAGCCAGACAAGACCCTATCTCAAGGAGCACGGCGGGATTGGGCTCACTTTTTGACGGGGTTGCCAAGGACCAGTTCACCACCGCTGCTTGCAGGTCACCAACATATCGTGTCGTTTGGTCTTGCCACAAACTGGAGCCAAAAGTCAAAGATCTGCACACAAACACTGGAGTGAAAGTAGATGGCACTCAGCACGATCATGCCTCAATGGGGAGGTTGTGCCATCTACTTTCACCCAACTTCAACCAACGACGGTCATGCTAAGCCCAAATGCGTCAACCTGGCAGGCTGAAGGGGGGGTTGGTTCCAAAACACTAAGGATTATCTCCTTCTCTGAAAAAACACAAATCAACCAGAGACTTGACTCTTCACTGAAGCAAGCGATTTGGTGGCTATTGCGCCCTGGGCAGAAAGTATATTTCTTCCTGGTTGGTAGCTAAAGTGGTTGGTGGCCAAAGGTTGAAGATCCACCCAATAGCAGCCAAGACTAGACACGAGTTCCCAGACGTCGCGTTTGTCCGGGCTGCCCTGCCACCCAACCGGAGCACACTGCCGCGCAGATCAGCATGGCGGTGAAAACGGGGCTGGCGTTCTGGTAGGCCACCTCGCGTTTTTGGTCCCGTTTGCATTGGTAATAAAAGGGCTAAACAATTGGATTGGGGGTTGGGGTACCACAATCTGCAGTACATTGAGTAATGACCACGGAAAATATATAATACGACATATGGATTCCCCGTTGTGATGAGCTTGAATCGACGGGAGAGACAAGCTGGTGCAAAGCGTTGGGAACTCTTTCCAGGGGTGCTACAAAGAATGGGCACCAGGGTTGACGTTTAGCCCTCAAACCAAAGACAACCAACGGCACTAACACTAATAACCCTTGTGGTTTGATCATCTAAATGCTGACGCAACCCTCGTGGAGGTCATGCCTTTGCTCGTCCCCCAAACATTTGAATCAGAGGCAGTCACCTGTACTCCTTTTCGAGGCTTGTGGGACAAAGCCCAGGTTACAGCCCGATGGCACATACACTCCACTTCCAAGAAGCTCATGGACAGCAGTAGTCATGAACTTGCATACAAACTACCGGCACTCATTACAATACTTCACACATTCATCTCTTGTCATCTTCAGGCGAGCTCGTTTTTTTGGTGCGGAAACTGTTGGCTACTGAGCACCCCAAGACCAGCAACCGGATTCACTGTGACAAACAACAAAATGCAAACAGGGCCCAGGTTCTTGAGCTTGCATTCGGGCCCAACCAGTTGACACACATGGCAAACACGGCCTCTTCCTATCCAAATGACATCCTGGTTTCCTTTCGAGGTGTTTGGGGCAACTCAACAGCCACTGGGAGTGTTTGTCACGTTTTTGACATTTGGTGCGTATCTCACTTTCACAGTGTACCCTTCTGAGACCCCGTTTTGCGTCCCCAGCCTTGGCACTCAAAACGTCCCAACCCTGTCGCCAATTTGCGAAAAGGCCGAGGCGGGGCTCCGTGAGCCTGATTCTCCATGAACCCCTGGTAGTGGCTTGGGGTAGCTAAAACCATCTTAGATCATAGGGCTCTGTTTCTGTTCGCTTCCCAGGCCTCATTCTGCGCCTGCACGTTGCGTCGCACCGAGAACCACCTCAGGCGAAGTTCGAACTGGCCACTGAGAGCCTCAGAAAGGAGATGGGAAATAATGATTCACAGCCACTTGGAGCCAAGTATCCACACATATTCGTTTGTAGCCACTAGTCTAATATGGCTCGTCCTGTGGAATCAATATCCAAGGGGAGAAAAGTATGTGTGAAGCCATGAATATTAAAACTAGATAGCAATGCGCGGTGCCTGTCCAAAGCCCGTGCTTGCTTATGGTCATTGCTTGTCTGTGCTCGCGTGGCTCCAACCTCAACGGCATTCGTTGGGACAAGTACTCTTGGAGATCATCGACCGTTGGCCTCGGCTAGCTCGCGGGCCTCTCCTTTCCCAATCGCTTCGGCCAAGAAAGCCCACGGTCGCCAGCACCACTCGTGCTGCTGCTAGCCTTCGCGAGCGATTGCACCTCCCTCCTGCGGGCCTCAGCTCGAGGACTGCGGCTGCTGAGGCCTGCGGCTGCCGCCGAGGCTTGAATCATCCACTGGCGCCCAATGGTCCAAAGAGGGAACGCCCAACATGAAGTGTTTGGGCTTCCCCGTGAACAACCCTAAGCAGGGTAGTCCCAAGAAAGGCATCACGGGAACTGAAAAGAACAAGAGTGTCAACAACCAAGCTTGCAGCAGCGACGGGACGAACAATAGTGTTTGCACGCCTACCAAAAAGGGGCATTCATGAAAATAAAGCAGAGGACGAACCGCCCACAAATAAGCCCTCAGGATTCATGAAAATACAGTACAGGTAATCTTCCCAGGATTGAAGGAGGAGAGAGTTAGAAAGAAATAATAAAAAGTGGGACCCTCCTGGGCCAGAAGAAACGAAGAAAACAAACAGGTAACCTCAGTTGAGCCACCCTCATTTACAGCAGGTTCAGGGGTATTCCCTGGTTGTTTGTTGATTATTTGCAACTGTGGTTCCTGATCACTCGGCTGCCTTGCAACGGTCGGGGAGGGACTCTAGAGACAAAGAAAATTGATCATACCCCCTAAAAACATGAAGCTTGGAGTCCGGAAGTATCCCAATGAACCATTTGTTCCTGTCCAACACAAGGCAAGGAAACCGAAGCAAGCCGATCCTAGTCTCTCCCCTTGGGGTTTGGCCAAGGGAGCAACCCTGGTAAGTCTTTCCCAGTGCTTCGCGCTGCCGCTATTGTAGGTAACCAGGGAAAATCACCGTGTAAAGCCTAGAGGTAAAAAACCCGGTTACTCAGTATAGTAGCAATTTACCCGCAAAAAAGGCCCGCGATATGCGGTCGGAAGGCCCCCAGTCCGTTGATTCTCTGGGGGAACCGGCACGTAGACCGAGTGCGCCGAAGTAAAGGGCAGGACCTCAGGGAGTCTTGCGGAACCCCCCCCGTCCCGCCACGCCCAAAAAAACAAGGCGGCTGAGTGATGGTTGAAGGGAAACTGTTTTGACCACGAAACAGATTCCAAAGCTGGGCCATCCTGGTATGAAGGGGGAACTTCAGATTTGGCACCTCTAAAAATCAAACGACGTTTTTAGCCAGCTTTCACACACACACAAACAAGCAAGCAAGCAAGCAAGCAAGCAAGCAAGCAAGCAAACAAACAAACCACAATCAACAAACAAACGCACAAACGCACAAACAAACAAACAAACAAACAACAAAAACAAAACATCGCCCAAACCGAACCAAACCAAACCATACCAAACCAAACAACCAAACACACACACACACAGATACACATGAAAACACTGAGAATTCATGTGGCCAAGAGACAAGAAACAAGTTGAACCGGGACACACCTGCGAAGGTCTCCTTACGCTCCGCTGAAACCCACGGAACTGTTCAACTCTATACGGGTTCGTTGGGATTCGGATGCGGCCCCTGCTGCGCGCAAAAGGAAAAAGTCGACAGGGGGAGATCCGGATGCAGATGCCACATCTGAAGTGTGTGTGCCTGGAGTTTGGCCACTGAGATCCAGGCGATGCCTTCCAAAGCGGCCCGAAACGTTTCTGTGCCCGGAAACCTTCACCTTATTTCTGGACCCCCTGCAAAAAACAATCAAGTAAAAAACGCCACCAAAAGCGAAAAAACAAGTCTAGCAATGCTTTGCGTCCGTTGCTCCGAACATTTTGTGAGAAAATTGGCTGGTCAATTCCACCGCTTGCTGCGCCTCTCCAGCACAAGTTCAGCGCCTTTTCTCATGGCAACCAAGGAACCTGCTTGAAACAAAACTGGCCGCCTTCAGGATTACCTTGAGTCTTGATGAAACGTAGACCGCAACAAGGCGAACCAGTCATGTCGCTTTGAACCCTTTGCAGTTTCCCACTGAAGTGAACCAGCCCCCGTTGCGACAAAGGGGTGTTTAGCTGTAGGCAGAACAAACCCAAAGGGCGGATATGCCTGTGTCAAGGTTCTGCCTTACAACGCGCCAATCAGGACAAGCGCCAATGAAAGGTTTACCTTTTAGAGTTTTAGCTTGGCGTGGGCCAGCCATTCAGGAAAACCACGCCAAGTCAGTTCGCTTTGGGAATGTGAGAGAGTAGGTGTACGTACCCACTGATCCTTATAACCTTCAATCATGGATGCACACACTCACTTGTGCCCTGCAGCAGTTGCAACGGTCACCTCATGTGTGGCTTTTTGTGGGGTCAAAGGTTCTGGGCGCTGTTGAGAGCGTAGTAAAAAGGCCAAGGGGGCATAAGAGTTCATAGGGCCAAGCTTGGTGGCCACTGCGCCCTGCCCAAAAAACAGTTTTGCAAGTTAATGAAAAATTACGGCCGGATAACCTCACATGCCTAGCTGTTTTCAAGCGGCGCCTTTGCTAGATGCGCTTCCAAGACAAATATTACATGTTCGTGAAGTAGGACTCAAGATTAGACGTGTTCGCTTGCAGCCCAACATCTTTGTGAGCAACCAGCATCAGCATCGACGGCAACGAGGGCCTGCGTTAGCGGCTTCAGCACGCACAAAGCTCCGCGCCTGCCACGCAAACAGCGCACGCAGACCAATCTAGGGAGTCGGAGAGTTGCTCCTTGTGCTGGGGCGGATTGGACTGTAAGCCAGCTGCGTGCAACTGGCTTCAGTTGATGCCGACCAAAAAGCGTTTGCGCATTGCTGAGTGGGGGGTCGATCAGCTTGCTCGCTCTGAAACTTGATCTGGCTACTCGCTTGGCTGAGCTTGATGCTGCTGGGACATAGCCGGGCTAACTTCATGTTACTGGGCGGCACAGCGCGGGCGGCCACAGCCCACGCAGCAGTCTAATGACTTGCCGTCCATACTCCAAGCCTTTTCCCAGCCACCGTCAGCCAAAAATCCTCCGTGAACTTGACACGAACCGCGAGTGAAGGCAGCTGCAAGTTTGAGAGGAGGTCGTCGTGGCAAATCAGGGCAGCTATCGTCGGGCGCGCTGATGCCACTGGAGCTCACGCCAAAAAAATGACTGCGTTACGCAAAAATGAAGCCGGCTCAGAACTGCCCTTCTTGCCACGCAATTTCCCACCCGAGCCCGAGCGTTGCAGCTTTCCGACATGCTGCGCACAACTTCTCCGTGAAGCTCAGGATGTTCTGAGGGGAAGCCGCGCGGGAGGGAAAAAACAGCTGCAGTGAGGTACGCTTGCTTCAACGCGCTCTTCTCCGCTACAGACGCCCGATCACAGCAAAATCAACCACCACCTCACCTCACCTCCACAAACACGTGCCTGGGTCCCATTCTGCCGCTCCCAAAAACAAAGCCCCACGCGTTCTCCAAAGATCTCCCCAAACCCTCCTGTCAGCGTCCACACTTGTGAGGTTATGCCAACTCGTGCTTGCAACTTTTCTTTAATTCACCCTTCCTCCTTCATCACCAAAATGCACGAAACAGCTTGGCGGAATGACCACTAAAGCAGCGAATCATTTGTTGCATATGTCGAGCGGTCTACTGCCGAAAACTTTCAGGCACCACGACACACAAGGAAGGCTCTTGGCAACACCGCATTCCGAAGTAATTGCCTTCAGTTGGACAACTCTGAGCTGTCTTGTCATGTCCGGGTCATTCGGGGCGGTCTTTTCCAAAAACAGTTTACGAAGCGATGCTTCCGAACAACAAACGCCAAACGCCAACGCCAAAGCTCCGAATTCCCCTGGCCACCAGCCGCCCGCATGCTGGTGCCAGGGTGAAAACCCAGTCATGCATGACTCCTTTGAGATAGCTGAGACGAGTGGAGGGATACCACACACCCAATCTCTCTTTCCACAGCTTTTATGCCAGCCCCCGCCATTCTGATTTACACCTTCGTTCTCCAGCGCAGCGAAGTTTTGACGGCTTACTCCTCTTTGTGCCGCAGCCAAGTGATGGGTGCATCCTCATCCAAGCCTGACGAGAGCGCGAGCGAAAGGACGAAGAAAACTCGAGAATTCTCGCACACCGGTTCAACTGAGGAGGTTACTGCGCAACGACGCCTAATTCCCCAGGAATCATTCACCACCTTTCCACCGCCGGCGAACGGACAGGAATTCGACAGTGGGGAAGCGGGGAACCTCAAACGCAACTCCATCCTTTCATGGATCTGTCTATTCTCTGCATTCCTCTCGTCGTAGTCTTTCATTAGGACGAGGAATTATATGAAAGGGATGCAAAGAGATCAAACAGTTCGTGCGGCCACAAACAAAGATAGGAATGGAATGGGCCACTTCTCTCCTTCTCTTTTGTCTGTCACGCGGAAAGCTCCTGCATCCGACCCATCGGGCCCACATTCTCCCGCCCCTGACAGAAATGGATGCGTTGCCACAAGGCCAAGTTGCCGCACTAGCCCTTGGCTGCGCTGGTGATCTTATGAAACGCTTTGCCGACGCAGGCCCTCACTCCCCGCACGCACGAGTTTTCTTGCACCTTTCGCAAGCAAAGGCCCTGGCATACTTGCCAACTAACGTCAAAAGTGACCCTCTACTCCAAGAACCTTTAAAAATAAAGGATGCAAACGAAAAACCTGGTTTTGAGCCTGTTGCTTTCCGAAAACAGGGTTTTACAACCGAAAACCCGGTTTTACTTTGAAAAACCCGTACAAAAACCATACAAAACCCGTACAAATCCCATACAAAACCCGTACATTTGTATGCTTTTCATAAAACCGGGTTTTCCCGCGAAGAACCCGGTTATTTTCGAGAACCTTTAAAATTAAAGGTTCTTGGAGTAGAGGGGACATCTCCAAAAGTTCCCACACAGGCCAAGCAAGAATAACGTCCACGCAGCTCAGCAAGCCCGAAGCGGCGAACAGGCATGAACAGCTCAGTCTCAACCGCTTGGCCAGCAGCTCAGCCCCAGCTGCCAGCCAGTTCCGCCAACCTCCAGCCCATTGGGTGGTGGTTTCCAGCCACCACCCCAGCCAACCCCTCAACTTCCTCAGATCAGCTTAAGCACCGTCCCTGAGTCTGTCATACCCAGTCCAGCTCATTCCAGTCACTTCGTTGGCCGGCCCCTGCCGCTCAAGCCTGTGGATCTTCTGAGCAGCACATAGCGTTCCCCTCCAGTGATGAATCCTATAAGTCCGAATGTTCCATTGGGTCATTGAAGTGATACCCTCAAAATTACCCTGCAAATTGTTGAAGGGAAGCCAGCCCGGCCCCGAAAGTAATTTTGAGACACCACCCCCCCCGAAAATGTTCACTTGAAGGGGCCCAGTCTCATTCAGGAATGGCCCTCTCTCGCCCTGGGTCTCCACGCACCCTCCTCGTCGCAAAAGGCCATGGCCGCCGCCCGCGCCTCTGAAGCTCGAAGCAAAGAGCTGAGCCGCCAAGCGGCAAACATGGACTTGGGTGCCGTTGCTTGGCTGGGTGAAGGGGAAATGGGAGACCAACATGACAAAAGGGATGATCTTTTAAGCGGGGAGCCTTTGGCGGATTTTTTGGGGGGGTTCTGTCAACCATGTTTCAATTCAAAGCTCCCTATTGAGACGCCTCGCCACTTGCTTCTTCAAAAAACAAAAACAAAACAACCACCCTCGGGGTTCACCCTGTTGAAGCAGCAAACTCAGGTGCAGTGGTCAGAATCAGCGGAACCTAGGGACCTCAGAATAGGAACCAAGTCATGGAGCTCCTTGTTGCCATCCCCCCCCCCCCCCGGAAAAGGGTGGAAAGCACAAAAGTACGGGAACAGGGCCCAAAGGCCCACTGTCAAAGCAGGCTGCGGGAGTCAGGCCATGACGTTCAACTACTGCCCGAAAAAATGGTGTGCAACGCACAGGGCATCCTCCAGGAGGAGATTGCCAAGACCGTGACTTTGCTTGGAAGATCTAACACAAAAACGATGAAACTGGGTGTGTCTGTTTATTAAGGGTACCCTGTTTACCTTGGTTTCAAGGTACACAAAAAACCACCCGCCTGTTTTGAGACAAACCCATAGGCATCCGGTCCAAGGAACCCTTCAAAGCCAGGAGCACCCGCAACATGTGTCTCTTTTGGAGTTGGTACTCGTTTTGGGTGTTCTAAAACTTGAGACAAACCCATGTCGTGCGGTGGAAAACTCATCGATCCGCACCTTCACACCCTCCAGGATCACGATCACGCGCAGGAGTACGTGCCTACGCCACGCTGGGTTCTGTTTGCCTCTCCTTAAACATAAGGAAAAAGCACTTAAACACGCTCAAACAAGCGAGACTTTTGCGGAGGCTGGAAAGGCAAATAATATGAGGACGGAGGCCCAAAGCAGCAGAAGTCCTCCGCTATTTCCTCCACAATCTCTTTCAATTTCCACAGCTTCGAGCAGAGAGGCCCAGCCAACCCCAAAACGTGCAACAGTGAGCGCGGAAAGCCTACTACAGCGGGGCCTACTACAGCGGGTGTCTGCATGAATGCTGACATGCTTTGACTGTCCAACAAAAAAAACAACCTGTTTGGGCCTTGAATGGAATGAACAAGAAAACTGCCGAAAAACGTTTCAAGTTTATCGCCTGACCTAAAATAAAAGAAACCCAAAGGTCGAGCAGGATTCGCATTGGAACTGAAAAGAACATGACCCAATAAGGCAAGTTGCAAATTTGGTCGAGCCCGTAAAAAGGTAACCCCCTCTGAAATGGAACCTTCATGCCCTTCATGCGCTTACCCCTATCAACTCAAAGGTTACCAAGCGAACCTCTGGGTCCGGTTGCCCTTTGAGATGCAGGCAACTCCTTAGTCCCCGCATCGACAGAGCCATTCAAGCGACATGGGTGTGTCTTAGCACAAGGCCCCCAAAATAATTTGCTTCCGGTTCGGTTTCCCTTTAACTAAGCTCGACAGCCCAAGCCACCCTTAGCTGGCTGCCAAAGGGAAAGCTCTAACTCATGTTGTGTGTAATGCTATACTTGTGAACCCAAGGCCAAATACAGGTTGACCCATAGGGCCACCACTCCAAACCCAGGTGTCTGGACAAGTGCAAGGCTTATTCACGTAACCCTGGGAGTTTGGCTGGGTCTGCACCCTGTCCGCGTCGCCTTAGCAGCGTGTACTGCAACATGAAGGTGAAGACCAGAGCGGTGCAAAAAACCGCCTCACGCATTCAACCCACGAATTCGCGACACCCTGAGTTGCGGAATATTCAATATACACCCTCTTTAGGTTAATGACCATTCATGTAAGTGCATCTAGGCAGGTGACCTTTGATGTTATCCTTAGCCCACTTCCATTGTCCAACATTCCAAAAGAGTAAACGAGCACACATGACATCATCTGTTTACCGGACCCACAAGAGAAGATGCCTATGGTTCCCGACTAAAGTGTTCATCGCAAGCACTGAGAAGAAGTCTCAGTGGCTGTCCAGTGAAGGTTGACCATCCCTCACCTCAAGTTCCAAACCTCCAGTGGCCATCGAAAAAAGGGGTGGACTGGCTGTAGCTGCTGTTTACTGGAAGCCCCCACGGTCTCGGAAGGTGCTGCTTGTCGAGTCTTACCCGCTTTTGCAAGTCAGGGACCAGTATCTGCAATGCGCAGGGCTGGCCACCCGCGTGACGAAAAAGACCTGAGGTAAAACAGGTGAGCGTTGTTTCAAATATTGGCCGCAGCAGAGGCACGTGGCAAAGGCCAGTGCCAGACCAACAAAGGCAAAGCAGTTGGCGGAAGCCGCGGAAGCTCTGCCTCGCTTCCCCGAAAGATATCTTCCATCTCCTGCCGCTCGTAGTCGTTCCACATTCCACACGGACAGAGTCCGCGCAGAGCTGCCGGATGCAAGCATCAGGGCTTGCTTGGCCATCGCAGGAGACGCTCTCTTCCCATCGTTGGAGCTCGCCGAGGTAGGGGCGTGAATAAACCTCCCAGCAGCGGCAAATCAAGTGCCCGAGGTAGCCTTCGCGAGCTGTTTCCATACATCCGATGGGGATACTTGTTTCAAGCTTTCGTTCGCTTTCGCGTAAGCTTGATAAAGTTTAAACAAAAACAAGCACGCACACACATCCTGGTGCTCGGGGTTGAAATAAATAAGCTGGCTCTGTCTTGTCACAAATGAAACAAGGACAAAAACTGCCGACGTTCCTTGCCACACCTATCTGCCACGAGTTTGGGTACTAGCCTCATTTGTTAGGGGTCATGGAGGCTCCAGCTGTGTGAATCTATTATTACGCCAAGCCCTTGCAAACCAAACAATAACTTGTCCGCAAAATATAAAGTCGGTATCTGTCACAACGGGCATCACAGCAAATAGAAAGCGGTCCAGGTAAGAATAACTATCCCGGCCTTACCCGTTGATGGCTTGAGGGGTGAACAAGGGTCATGTGTGGTACCTTGGAAGGCATGTCCCGGATTCCCATGCAAATGTCAGCACAAACAACAGAACCTCCCGATCCCTGTTTTTGTCGACGGTCTCTGCTCCTGATCCTGAACACACCCTCCCCAAACAAAAGACTTGTTGCTTCTCCATTTCCCCAATGGGATGAGTTTGGGTGGCCCCATGATGCCCCACGGCCCATGGACCGAAAAGGCCTGCGCAGACTTCGTCTTGGCGCCCTGTCAAGGACGGCGTTCTTGCTGAGTGAAAAGAACAAATCGGGGGAGGGTCAAAGTCCTAAAGGACCTGGAATGAGCAGGTGAGCCAAACTGAAACCTGGTACACAAGGGAGTCTCAAAACCATGTTAAGAGAATAAACTTCCTTTACCCGGGTTTTGATTGTGGCTCAGATAATCACCTTTTCTGTTGTCCGATCCGCTTTGCGAAAGTAAGCAATGGGAACCGCAGACACAAACAGCAATGGCACTGGATCAGGACCAGAATGGCGGGATGGAACCCTGAATTTGTCAACCTGGCTCGCTCTCAACCCCCAATAGACCTTGTGCTCCGCCTTCGACCCATAAACGGAATGCACAGGCAGAGACAAGCGGTCAACTTGGAGTGCAGATTGATATGGACGGAAACATCATGAGAGCAACCGCTTGGAGGGATCCTAGTTGTTGACGTCCAAGACTCGAGCCAATGTCCCTCTATCACACTGGCAAGCAATTTGTTCTCCGCAGCCCCCCCACTCAACATGAAGAGAACCAAAGCAAAAACTAGACACATACGGCGGAACAATAAGCCTAGACGGAAACACTGTGTCGTTCGATCAACCAAAGGATGCCCTTTGGCGTATGCAAAACACATGCCACCACTGGTGTCCATTGTCGAAGTCAGCTTTTACAATGCTAAATTGAATGGAAACAACTCCAGTTTCTTCAACATCAAGACTCCAGCAACCAGGGTAAAGGTTTCCTTGCGTGCACGAGTGCGAACGGGCGCCTGCAAAAGCTCCGTGTAGACATAGAAAGACATCAAGGTCCAGGCTAGTGAGAGGATCAGCGACTGCGCCTCACGACTTGGGTGGTTGTTGACCAACAGGCGAGACGATTGAGTTTGTGCGGGAAAACATGTCTAGGTTCCCAATGGACATATCTATTCTTGCATGTATGTATATACCTAGGAATGCCCATGTGTGCGAAGAAACGCATTCGAGCAAAAAGCGCCAATGGTGGTCGTTGTTCGGGAAAAAATGTTCTTTGCAAAGAAGGTTGTTTTTTTGTGGAAAGGTAAGGTAACCTGGCATCTAAGATTTCTGGACTTGTGCGCCCTTGTCTGTTTCTTTCCGCCTTTGTTCCGGGTTGTTCCGCCTTGTTTGGCCGTCCAAGACCCACACTACCCGCGAAGCTCCGAAAAAGGTTGAAGTTTGGAAAAAAGCCGTTTCGCCGATAAACAGTTGTTTCTCTAATAAGACTGAAAAAGACAACAGCTTCACAGGTATGTGATAGAGAGGCAAACCAAAGGGAAACTATCCATTTCGAGGCTCCCGCACTTCGAGGCAATTCCACGGAAAACACAACACACACTCACATGTTGATGCCTGGTTCTGGTTCAATGCATATTGCCTTTGAATGTCACCCCACCAAAACTAAAATCAACCAACGTTGGATTCTGCTCCGAATGCCATCACAAGGCAAAAAATGGCAACCCGCAAAAGGAAATCAGAGGAAACCGAACCAGTTTCCTTCACGGTTCGGTCGCCCTTAGGCTCGAAGCAACCCTATGTAAACCCAGAAAGGAACTATGAGGACCGCTAATTCAAAAGGAGCTCACGATATTTCTCACGAAACCACTGGAACCCGCACCCCAATGAAGATTCCACAAAAATGCAGTGTTGGGTCCATATTAAGCAGAAGCAATGGTGGGTCATTCAGCCCGTGCATGCCCGTGCCTTGATTGATCCTCCCACAAAAGGACATCTGTTCATTGTGGGAAATGAGCCTTGCTGTGATACTCAAGGAGGCCATTCCTATAACGTCTTCTTCAAAGGGGTTTCCACGTTATCACCAGGGGGTGGCCCTAAAGTCTAAAGCCCTGTTTCCCACCATCTCTACTCGGACGGATCCCTGTTGCTCTTGAGCTCGTGCCTTGTAGTGGCGGTGGGATCTCCAGAAGGTGGAGTTGGACTTGACACTTCTCCTTGGCAAAGGTTCATAGGAGTCCACGGGGTGGGGGTGGCGTGAGCGCGGGGAGACGGGGATCATGTGAAGGGTTAGTGTTTGAGCCAAAAATACAACATTGTAGCAATCATACAAAATGTTTCTTACTGGATCCCGACTACCCCGTGGTTTCCGCCTTCACCCATGGCCCATGGGTCATTTTGTGCAAAAGGCGGGTCAGCTCACGGTCAAGGTCTGGAAAAGGATGCGGTCGTTCTTGCTTCTCGGCACGTGGTTTTGGGTAGGCTCGGCTATTATTGCTTTGGCATGGAGGTGCGTCACCTACGTAGTTTGTCAGTGGTAGGTTAGCCTGGTTGCCAGCAACTGTTTAGTTCACCCAGTGGAAATTGTGCTCTGGTAGCTGGGCGATGATCAGGGCTGTACGCACGTGCCACATGCCGAGCATCAAAGCTAGTGGCACAAGAATGGGCGAGGTGCATTTGATACTGTGGATGCCGGATCATGTGAAGGGTTAGTGTTTGAGCCAAAAATACAACATTGTAGCAATCCTACAAAATGTTTCTTACTGGATCCCGACTACCCCGTGGTTTCCGCCTTCACCCATGGCCCATGGGTCATTTTGTGCAAAAGGCGGGAACTTCCGGGTTTACTGTATACCATGGTTTGGGGGGTTGAGTGTGATTGGTTTACTTGCAATACTCAGGGCATCCACCGTGAAAAGCTGTTACTGTGATAGTTTGCATCGACTCTGCTTTCTGGGGTTTCTCGTAACATAGATTCGATGGCGACTGAACGCCATGGCCTTACGATACTCGAGCCGCCCAGCCGCTGCTAGTGTGCACAGTGAAACCCGGCAATTTGAAGTCCCACGCCGTTGCAGGTGAACAGTAGACTGTCGCGCGAGTGTGTCATCCATAACTTGCGCGAATGCCTTTTCCTTGAAGGCAGCAAGGATCATCAGTTTGATTGTGACTTCTCTTGCCCACTTGATCCTTCCAGTAAGACAATGGTTGTGGGATTTGCTTTCCACTAAAAGGAATTTCCAATGACTAACTCTTCACTTCATCGGTGGCGCAGGAAACAGTCCTTATCCTTCATCTAACGGAATTGGTCGTGATGACTCACTTGGTGGCTTTCATGTCAGCCTTTAAAGGGGCCTAGTGAGTAACAATCAATAGCAACAGTTGGCAACATTTGGAGACTTCCCGCACAATGGGCATAATTGGGGGGACCATGTGCTGCCTGATATGCTACGAGGCGAAACCTACTTAGTGACTAGCCTGGTTCTAACTGACTTAGACTTGCAACCATAAGGTGGGTTCTTGCCAAACCCGTGCCATTCAAAGGATGCCACGTTCACTCGGCTCGAGGAAAGCTCCGAGGTGCTCCACGTAGGACAGCAGCGAGGGCGCCTCCAGCGGGAACAGTTGCTGCAGCGAGCGCTCGTGCTCACCCACCAGGTCCGAGCCCTTCACCTGGAAAACTGCCACAAGTACGGCGTAAGATCTGGGTATTTTGATCCCCCATGAAATTTAGGGTGTGGGGGGGAGGGGGGGGGAGGCAACATCCGGGTATTTGATGTAGATTGAGAGTATCCTGGCATGCTTGGCTTTCCTCCATAGACACCCTGAGGGTGAACTCCTTATGGTGAAAAAGGCAATGTGTTCACACATTCGCCCCAAGTGGTACGCGCCTCGCCACCCAAGAGACTATGCAATATAATGTCTCATGTCTTGCTTTTAAGCATCACCTGATCAGAGGTTCAAAAAGATGTTGCTCTACTTCACCCCACCAAGAAGCAATGCTAATTTACATTGGCTCAAGTGGTGATGTTAAAAAGTATTGCCCATCTGGACTTGAGGAAACTCATCTAAAACTGGCAAGCAACCCGCGGATGTTTAACAGGTGTCCCTACATCACCACAAGTGAAACTACACCAAGACTAAACTCGGCACCGGTGAATCTGGACCACCCGAAAGTTGCCCAAATGGCTTCCATTCAGTTTGGTGAAATTTCAGACAGATGGCCCAAGTTGCGTGGTTTTCAAGGAGCCCTGATTCACTTGCCTCACCAAGAAACCGTACTTTCAGGTTCCTATCCCTATGTTGCCTTATGGCGATCCCTAAGTACAGTTTGTTTTCTATTGGCTTCCCTTTAACATAGTGAACATGGGGTCCTCCATTGTGAGAAACCCTCACATCAACCCCGCAAAAACTCACCTGAATCGGCCCAAAAGGTCATGCTGACCTGAGTGGCTCCGAAATCCTACTGGATGGGCAAAAGGGACCTTGAAGAAAAAATGCGACCCGGAAAAGAACACCAAAGGAGCCCATGCCCATTTTCTGCTTTGAGCACAGAGTTCCCAACCCTTTTGGAGCGGTCCACTGACTTTACCACACACACACACAAGGGCGCCTAGCCCAAAAGGACATATCTTCAGATTCGGTCCATAATGTAGTGAACCTAAACATGCAACGCAACATCAAAAGAGCTCCCAGAAACACGGCCTCCATGAAGCCATGAAACTGTGAATCCATGAAACCAAAGGGATGAGTCCATTTTAGGCGGTGCCCCTATGCTCAGGCATATGCAAAAAGCGTCATAAGTCACATCCCAATTTGACAAAGTCCAACCTTTTGATATTCTCCCCTCTACAGGACATGGGCAGATTCGTGTGTCGTGATGTAATCCCAGGGTTCGAGCCTTGCGGTTGCAGACCTTCATGACTATCAGGCAGGTGTAGAAGGATACCGTCATGGTGCACCCCGCATGGCGGACCAGGATGCAGTCCGCCACCTAGTGCACGGGTTGACTGCAGTTTGAGGTCAACGGGTGGTACAAAAGAGGACTGTAACTTGCTGGCAAGACGCCCCCTGCACAAAAAGAACAACTTGTTGCAGGACGCGGTTCCCCAAAAAGATAAAGGTTACTGATTGAAGCAAATACAAACCAAGAACATATTGCAATTAAGGAACAGGGAAACCCTTGTAGTTACAGTGCTTTACAATAGTTATGTGGTTGAGTATGGTTTCTCTAATTGTAATATCAGCCAGATGAGCTGTTTAACCATATTTTTTTGTGGCTACTGCCCGCTGCCCAAACAGTGGAGGTTAGTCAGACAAAAAAAAACAATGTCCCAACCCTTTGAAGGGTAAAGATACAACCCAATAGCATTAAACACGTTTTGCCCGCCCCTGTTCCCAGTCAATCCCAGCCGCATCTTCCTGTCCGGTGCCCCAGCAGTTGTAGTCGTGCCGGACAGGCCCGGCGCTCAGCATCCGCTGGCTCTTGCTGACCTCGGAGGCTTTCTTCTATGTCAAGGGCCCCCCAAATCCAGGGTGCGACTCTAACGGCCTAAGAGTGTCTGGTAAGGTCTGGGAGATTCCACGGATGCGAAGTCCTTGACAACAATAGGACTTGTAAAGCATCTTAGTTGGCTCAAACCATGGGCCTCTTTTCACGGTCCTGTGGGATGATGGGTGGTTGACTTCAGGGAATCTCACAGAACAATAAGCAGAAACTCTCCGATGAGCCTGGGACAAAATGACTTGCTTCCCAAAGGGACATTGTGACATGGCAACAACGGTTTGTCCGCCGTAGCTTCTGTGGGCGATACTAAGCCCAAGATTCAAAATGAATTTATTTCTTCATTTTTGGACCCGAAGCCACTCAAAATCACATTTGGGGGAGGAATACGGGGTGGGGGGGGGGGTCAACCTGGGAAGGTTAAAGATCCAACCAGAGAGAATTCAAGATTCTTGCGCCCGAGTGGCTGTCTGGAAGCGGTGTCCCAGCTCCAGCATGCCAACCATCACTACGTACGCCGCCGCCGCGAGGTGCGGAAACCACACGGGGAGTGAGCCCTCGCTGACCAGGCGCTCCATACGCAACACCTGCCGATCGCAAGGGGCTAATTGGAATGAAGTTGTGGGGTAAAAACAACAAATTGAATTGAGACCATTAGACAATTATTGTGTTCGTAATGATTCAGTCCTTGATTATTTCTGAGCGGGCAAGCATACGTCAGTTCCAGACGGATTCCCTTGTAACAAGAAGCATTCGGAATCGGCATGTGGTTGTCCTAAACCAAGTAATTTTCTCAAATGGGCGCGCGCTTTGCCCAAAAACAACAAACAACACCAGCACATATGTTCCTCCAAGGGTGTTCACTTTGAAAACAACACTTGCAAACATGGCACGATTTTCCTTACAATTACACAAAATTGAATAGGGTAATTCCCCAGAGGGTAATCCCAGGGCGTGATACGAACACCAATGGCAATAAGGGGTTCCCTTGCTTCATATGATACCCAAATTCAGAGCTATAGGAAGGGGAGTCATTGCAGCCAAAAGGCCACAATGTGTGGCTAATACTGCCTACAAGGGGCCATTGAACCATGGCTGCTCTTGTTCTGGCTCTGAATAAATATTGGACTGCCTGAGGACCCCCCCGCCCCTCCCCCTCAATGTAGAGGATTGAGCAAATATGTCCGGAACAGCTACTCCAAACGACGCCCTCAAATTCACTCTCCAAATGGTGGCATAAAAGGCGTGGTCACGCCACGTACATGGTCCTTGACCAGTTGATGAAGTGGTTGGAATCCACCCAGTTAACTGCGTAACACCTTTAAACTAGGTTTACTGATGTCTTACCGACCACGTGGCTTACCGACCATGTGGCTTACTGACCATGTCATGCTCCACATGGGTCCACGGTCCAACAAGTTAAATTAAAACCACCAGAGGGGAAGCATGGGAAACCTGGTTAAGGGGCTGGCCTTGGTGGATGCCTTTAAAACTCACTTAGAGTCGGCGTTGACCTGCTGGCCTTGCTTGAATCGTGATTCTTGTAGAAGGAAAATGAGAAGCCACCCCCTAACCTCCAAAACACCGATTTCCAAACCACCAGAAGGAAGTTAAATATGAGTAAAACCCATTAAGACACTCTCATTCCCCTGTCGCTGGCTCGCGGCCTTGGTCATGACCACAGGCACTCGCTCAGATTTGGCGCAGGGCCCAAAGCGTAACCAGAGGCCCACCACGTAGCCCATGTAGAGCGTGGGCAGGAGGAGGCAGCTGTGAGGCGTGGCCTAGCAACTGTTTCAACCCAACTGGCCACGAATCTTATTTAGAGAACCACCTCAAAAGAGGTTGATGGACATCAATCCCAGAATGATGTCCACCAATGGGTCCCCTATCAAGATTCAACCCTACTATGGTGCTCCTGTTGGTTTCCCTTTAACCGCACTAGCACGCACTTTCAAATCTAGGTCGCCAGGGTTGCTCCAATTCGATCCGATTGGCACAAGGGTAGACATTTGGTCCCTGGTCGGGGAACATCTATACCCTTGCCCGATATACAGTATAGATGGATTCCGCTAGTAAATAGTTAGCACCGGCCTGAAACCACTGCCATCTGTTTCAAACTGCGAGCAGAACACCCACGACTCGCAAATGCTTTTTTCACAAGGGGCTGTTCTGATAAGGGGCGCCAAACAACAAACACATAACCGTCGAAACAGTCAACACACAACAATTGTCAGCTTTCAAGCAAGGGATGCCCATTGCAAGGCAACCATCTTCAACAACAAATGAGCAGCAACATGTTCACTCCCTGAACAAACTCATTTCCCCAAAAAACATGTCCTTTGGAACCGGCATCAACTTCCACGTGTTGGGCCTGTCAGAGATTCGGGGCAGGCTGCAACTGTATGCAAGCCCTTGACACCCTCCCAACAAATCATGCAAGCGTCTCAAGATGTATCTCCCGCAGCCGAGACTCTTTGTTGCTACAAAGCAAACAATCAACAACTTACCAACCCCATGGATATGTGGGGAGCCGCCCTATTCAGCATTCTACAGGACTTCCCATGGCGCGAAGAAGGGCCAAATGAGCATTTACTGTTGCTGCTACCAAAATGCTCGCTTTCAGGGGTTTACATAGATCCCCGCTATCATCCCTCCATGCCATCGCTTGTTGTTGTCCGAATCCAAAGGAGAAGCAAACTCAAAAATACAAAATGCCACCTGGGCAAATAGGAATCTACCCTCTTTCCAACAATCCTGGAAGCTCACAGAAGGGTTTTGAAAGACAACGTGGTCCCTCTTGTCCATTTGCCATGATTGTTGGAAAAAACTCAAATCTGCACACGCTGATCCCAATACCGGCCTGCGTATGCAGGAATGGCATCAAGCACACCATGGACACCGCAATGTGCCTGAGACTGGCTCACACCATGGAATTGGTACTTGTAAGCTGGGTTGGCAAACTTTGTTCAAACAACCACACCGTGGTGGCCTGCAAGAGACACCGCTGCATTTTTCGTTTAAACAACAGTCGTTTACATACTTAAACAAGGGGTTTGGCGCAACATCTGTTTTACCCAAAGGACCTGGTACCAAAATATTGACCTTTGGGGAGCTTGAATGAAGATATAGTTGATAAGTTGAGGTTGTATCCCCAACAGCTTTCCTCTATAACCCTTCTGGAACCCTGGTCCAGCCGCACCGAACCACTCCAACCGGCGGGTGAATACCCAGCTATCAGCTGGTATGGCGACCTCCTTCTTCAAATGCTCGTAACGCCACAAAACCCGTACCAACTGCCCATACGTTGCTTAGACGCATGCTGCCCCGGCACCTTGAGAGCTTTGGTAAAATCAGCGGGTATTTGGTTCAGGGATAGAACATGGACCCAGCTGCAACTAGTTGCCCGTTTGGCAAAGAAACATGAACTTGTTGGGCATGATTTCATGTGAACCCAACAACATTTGGTGTGCTTCCTCAAGATGAGGAAGCCCGGTGGATGTGCAAAAATTAAGTGAATTCTATGCAAACCTTTGGCGGACATGCCCTTGACTTCCCTGTACAACCATTTGCACAGGGGGTACGTACCAAAAACAGCCAGACCCAAGACAACCAAAAGCCCATTTACCACACCCTGTTGTCACACTTATAAATATATATATATATACATATACATATATATATATATATTACTATAACTAATTATGCTATGACCAACAGGCTTGAACACCCCAGTAAACCTGGGGAAATCAGAAACCAAGTCGGTCATTTTGAGGGCTCCTGCACCTCCCCGAATCAACCAACAGCCCGCTTTCCAGAGGTTCCAGGTACTGAGGGTGGTTCGGGGGGCTTGAAAGGTTCTTTGCCCGGAGCCTCCTCAAAAATTGGATAACTCCCAACAAACTTAGGGGACACTACCTATTGTTTGTGTTGCGGGGGGTCCGGGAGCCTGCACTGCAAATACAAGACACAACTAGTATTAATGTGAAAAACCATATTGAAAACAAGTGTGTTTTAGAGTAGGCGGTCGTTTGAACAGGGAACCAAACCATGGGTTTAACCACCTCCTTTTCGGTTTCCCTGAGACGCTAAACACTCGACTTTGGCCCAAGGATATGGAGCCCTTGTTACAGAACGGGCTGTGTACACCCTTTGAAAAGCTTCAACAAATGATCATGGCCGATTGCTCCGTGTGGCTCCATACGGGAGCTTCTCAAAATAGTGGCAACCCCCAAAACAGTTGGTTGTCTTTTGGTGTCCCTTTAAACACCAGCAGGGTCCAGCATGTGGGGTCCCCTCCACACATGGGGACCCCATCCAGGGAGGTCTCTATGGGAACCACGTCGCGTAAGAAAGCCGATGCCCAGGGAGGTGTTGCTGCGAGGGCTCCGCTGGAAAGCGCCTGGCGCTCGCTGTTCGGCAGAACGGGGAACCTGTACCCACCGCAAGGGGTTTAATGGGATATACAACCACTACAGCCACCAAAAGCTAGGTACCCTGTTTAGGTTGTCTGTATTCAAAACCCAGTCAATCTCATGGTAACAGATGGGTTTAGTGCGGGCTTCTTGACCCACATCGGGGGAACAATGGGATTATCTTGTTATCCCTCATATTTCGATATATGTAGCCTACCCCTGTCTACCCTAAATCAATAAATAGAAAATAGCTTGGAGGAGACCCCAGGAATTGGTCGGTTTCAGTTGGTTTAGTGCTGGTTTAGATCTGGTTTAGGGTGGGGCTAGGGTGGGGTTGGAGTTGGAGCCAGGGTTGGGCAATGCAACCCCTTGTTTAAACTACCATACATGTATCAGTACAGATTGGATCAGATATGGGTGTGCATGAGTTGTCGGGAAGACCCCTTTTGATTGGTTTTAACGGGACGCCAAGAGGAAAAAAAGAAAAAACAACACTTTTGAGGCTTCCCCTATTTCGATCAAACCCATTTAACATGTTTAGACCACCCAAATTCTCCCTGGGAAAAGATGGAAACAGGGTAGAGATCACCACTGGTGGTCTGGGACAACTATTGTTTAAACTAACTTCCTTCGATTTTCCTGCCGACGTCTGGCCGCTAAGCCTGTCGATCGGCACTAGGGCAGGACACATGGTACGCCTAGTGAAGGGACACCCAAAGGCAGCAAACCACATTGGGTTTGTCTCAAAATCCGGTTGGGGAATTTTCTGACTAAACAAGAGGGTATTGCAACGGAACATGTGGTTCTTCCAAATATATTCTTAACCAGAAGTGGTAATTTGGAGTAGGTGGTAGGGCTTCACTTACCCGACCCTAATTCGAGCGGGTGAAGTCCTTTGGTAAGGAGAATCTTAAACCAAAGGGGTCTCTCTCCAACTGGGCAGTCGCAAAATGAACAGGTGTCCTCTCGGTGGCTCAAGAACAAACCCTGAAGGGGTACTGAGCCTGATAGAAAACAGGCCCAAATGCAGGTGACCTCTGGAATGTGCGGTTCTTCAAGACCATGCATGGTTGCCTCATTTTGCTCGCACAAGTTTGGCAACTCGTTTGGTCTTAGGACCAAGTAACCCGTGACCCTTCGCAGCGTTGGCCATTTCAGAAGCCCAATGGGAAAGAATGGATTCCGCCCGTGATGTTTGCTTGATTCTAAAGGGAAACATTTGCAACAGGGGGAAAGGGACAAATGCAGCAGGCACGTGGAAGTTCTACCTTGCAATGCTGAACTGGGCCAGTATGATGACTACACCACTAAGGAAACCATGGCTGCGTCTTATAGGAAACTCCTAAAATGGAGGGTTTCCCTTAGTTTCCCTTGCAAAAAGATAAACCCATCATATATACATATATGTATATGGCTCCTGCTCCACAAAATTTTGGACGGCCTGGATCTTCGAGGTCGTTTTCCGCCACCGTCGTAGGCACGGCGCCCTTTTGGATGAGGGTCGTCCAGGACCTAACGCTGAAGTCGGAAACTTGGATTTCCCAGATCCTGTGGATTGTCTCAACCGGCTTGTACCAGATTTGGGGAGGTAAGCAAAGGTGTCTAGAGTCCAAGCTGGAAGCTCAAGGCAAGCTTATTTGTTCAAGAAAAACCACTATAGCGGTTTGAGGTTTGTTTTGTTAACGTGTCCCCTGGGGTTGCCAACAAATCATCCTCAAAGGGAGCCTGTAAGCCTGTGGGTCTCAACGATTCTGGTCCATTCGCCCATGCGGGCACATGCTTTTGAAGATTCGCCTATCTAAGGCTGGTTTAAAGGGAAATAACAACTGAAAGCTGCAATTCTCGCGGTCCCCCAACTTGACACATACCCATGCTTCACGGCAAGACCCCCTCGGCCCAAGCAGTTTAACCATTGGAACATGTGTACATGTTCCCCAACATGTTCAAGGCAAAAGATGCCAAAGACCCAATCGCATTCGAGATATGTCGCCTTTTCGCCGGGCGGCTGCCGCAAAGAAAAGGCCTGGTCCGGCCCCGGGGCGCTGCATTGCCGCAGCTGCGGGCCCCGACTGCGGCTTTTGCTCGCCCGCGAAGCTCCGAAGGTTCCGTTGGCGAAGCAGGGCGTGGGCTTGGCGTCGGCCTTGAGAGGGGTTGGTTGCTAAAGTATTTTAAACCAGATCCAAAAGAAGAACCAACAAATTGGTTCAAATTGCTCTGAATTGACCAAAATCGGGTACCCCTTGCAAGAGGAACTACTGTTGGGGCCAGTTGAAGCAGTGGCTTCTTTCGACACGAGGTTAAATGGTTCAATCCTGGCCTGGGAGCTCTTGCGGCTCCGCTCCTTCTTGGTGACCTGCCAAGAGGAACAGCCAAGAAAATTGTCCCGCTCTGCTCCTGGCTATGCAAAAAGAAGAGCAAAGGCTGTGTGGCGTCGATAAGGTTAACATTGGTCAAAGGTCAAACGAGGCAGAAGAAGCACGAAACACTTCCGTTTTTTCTTGTACGTAGTCGGCAAAGCCAAAGAGCGAAGCAACAGCAGACAACCTTTCGAAGCCTTTCATTGCAACCAGTGACCTTTCCCCGCCATTAGAGAGGAGCAGCCACACCCCCGAGGAGTGCGGTTGCAACCAGCGACCGAAGCGGAAGAACATAGGTGGTTTCCCGTTGGTTGCTCCTGAAAACAACCACAAAAGCAGGTACCCTCCGAAAAGCGCAACTCCCAGCTGTGCAGTAACCCTGCTGGAAAAGTGAACCATTCATTCCTATTTGGGCTTGATTCTGTCTTTAGAGAGGAAGCCAACAAACAAGAAGAGTAAAATGGGTGTCACTGAAGAAAGGCAACGTCAGAAAAGCCAACAAAGAGGACATGGTGGTTTCAAGGCTCCCGGGGCCCCCCAACAGTGATCTTGAGAACCCTTCAAAATGCGACCACTTACTATGTGGACGTGAGTATTTAGCACTCCGCACGCATCATCCATTTTATTCAATCCGTTTGGGGAGCTTCGCGCACGGATTGGGACTGCAAAACGGATCCCGCGCCTCCACCAGCTCCTGGCCGCTGTCCTCGGAGGTCTCCGCGCGCCCAGAGATGGCGGAGTGGATCTGCGCCATCTCCTCAAAGTCCGAAAAAGCGAAATGGTGGCTGCTGCCCGTGGTTTTTGAGGGTGTTTTGGTTTGGAGGTTGGTTCAAAGGGAAGTAACACTCACCTCAATACTGGGCGAAAATAGTTGACTTTGAAGAGAATCGCGCAGGCACCGCTAGGCCTCCTAAAGAAGGTGCTTTGACCCCCTAATGCCAACTCTCAGCTCTGGGTTTGGCCAACTCTGGTCCATTTCGCCCCAACTCCCAATAAATCATCCGCAAAGGGCTTGTGGGTCTCAACGATTCTGGTCCATTCGCCCATGCGGGCGTTGTTTTTTTTTTGGAGGGTCGCCTTTCTAAGGCTGCTGCGTTACCAGGCCAATGGGAAAATGCTAGTTGTTCAAAAGAAAACAGTGCTAAAGATCCAGCCCAACAGGATTCAAAATAAAGGATTGTTACTTCTGTCATGGTCTTGCCGGCGAAGTCACCCCCCCCTCCCAAGTGGTGGGCGAAGTTGCCGACTTGGACAACCGCTGCAAACAGCAAAAGTAGTGACCCTAATTCAGGGGTCTTATCTTTCAGAACCAAAGTCATCGTGACGTTTGACCTTTACAAACGAGATGAACTCGGTTGAACCTGTTTCAATGGTTGGCGACTCTTGTCGACTCCCTCTTTAATGCCATAACCGCTCAAACAGCATCAATATGGGGTTGTTTTGTTTAACACATGAGCTTTTGTTATTCAGAAGGTTCAAAAGATCAGCCACAACAACCAGATCTCTTCCAAAATGGGCCCCCGAATTTGTTGGATGATTTCTTTGTAAAACCACGGTGCTTGTCGTCTTCTGAACAAGAAGGATCCCTGGAAGGAATCGCCCCGGAACGAGGTCAACAACAGAACAAAGAGGGACAACTAGGTGTATCTTCAAAAGGACGGACTGTTCCAGCACCCCAAGAGCAGTCAGACCACAACCTCAAACCACGAACTAGCCTTTCGGCAATAATATGTTTTAAGAAGGCTAACCCTTTGCGAAATATCACTGATCTAATTAGTCGTTCTACAGTTAGTTCACCCCTCGTGGGCGTATCCTCAAAAGGTATGTTCACCCGGATTGACTTATAAACTCTTTATGGATCTGACCACGTGATATCCAAACTAGCTCAAAGTTGGGAAAACACAGAAGCGTGCACTGTGTAAGAGCGAGGATGGCCGCTTCCTTGCTACCCTAAAAAGGGAAAGTTGGGTCCGGAGTCCTGTGGGCTTCCCTTCAAAGAAGGGCACCCTCAATATCGCACCCAGTGCTAGGGAAACCGGGTCTCCATTGGTTGGCCCTAACTACTCTGTGCTGAGGCCCCAAGATATGAACCGGACGATGACCCAGACCCTTTCGGCTTCCTGTTGCTAGTGATCGCACCCTATCTAAACACTCAACATCACCCCACAAGCAAACTCAGGCAACCAAAGGGGCGATGTCCAGACCGCCTGCAACAAACGACACATAAGGTCAAACCTATCACTGGTCGCCTTTTGGAGAAACAAACAATTATTGTGTTCCCCCCTAGGGTGTTCTGTTGGTTTCATGTTGCTTCCAATTGCACCCAATAGAGGTCCCCAAATGGGTGCCTTCGAACTCTGGTTTGCTACAAATCACTTTGGGATGTGGTTTCCTGCAAACCACCATTCAAGGGTAATATTGTCGTCTTCATGGACTCGCTTCTCCAGAAACAGGTGAAAGTTGCCCCCAAAAGGGTCTGCCAAAACAACTGCCCAGGCTTCCTCCCGGCTGAAGGTACGAGTTCGGTGCAGATTCAAAAGCGGGAGGCTGAGGAGCAGCTCTTCCCCCTTCCCACAGTTTAGCTCTAGGTGAGCGAGAGCAAAACCATCAAATTCCCACAAAACATTCAAGCAAGGCGTCAAAACCACAAAAAAACGGCACCCTCAACAAAGACACACCCATTCGGAGCTTCCGCCAGGTGCTCGCTGGCAGCGGTGGCCGCAGACCGCACCGCACTGCTGGTGGCCTACGGCTCACGGCGCACCGAAATCGGCCCAGAGTTGGGGATCGCCCCAGCTTCACTTTGGGTAGACATAAATCATTTGAGCCGTGGCTTTCAATTCTTCCCCTTTTAACATACGTTTGACACTATCCAAGCTTCCGCGGACCCTTCCGCATCCTTGCCGTTGGCCAAGAGGCCGGACTTCCGCGGACTCCCGGCGCACATGTGTGTCATCGCTTGCTTCCACAAACCTTCCGCGGCTCATGTTTTTATAGGATTTGCTTCCTCGAGTATTGGCGCATAAAGGAAAGTCAGTTGAAGCAAGTCAAGAAAGTAACGTTCCGTCTGTGTTGGCGCAGCTTCTGTAGGCTTGGGATCCATTGAGCTACCGGCACTTGCCTGCAGACACGGGGCCAAACTTCCGTGGAGCTTCTACGAACCTTTCACAAACCTGCCGCAAATTCGGCCGGCTGTTCTGGTCCTCTTGTCTTGCTGTTGGCCACCTACAATTAGCGCTTCTCGTAAGCGTTGTGCTTCTAGATCTTGTACGCGGCAACACCTCTCTGCTTCCGCTGTAATCGTTTCTCCGTGCTTCTCCGTGCACACAATCTGAAATAGCTCATATCAAATCACAAAGCTTACGCCAAACCTTCCGCGAAAGAGATTCCTTCCGCGAAGCCTTCCGCGCGTGTGGTGCGGTGCACATGTTCAAGAATAGCCCTCCCCCTACTACTTTAGCTTGTGGGCCAAAATTGCCGCTCATTTGTTTCGTGCTCACAGGAAGTGTCATCGATTATTCCAGCTGAAGGGAATATTGTCAAAAGAAATGCGGAGAGCCGAGCCCTGAACTCAGGTCCAGACTAGTGTTTGCTGCTTAAAACGGAACTGGAGGAACACGCAAAAGGAAAAAGGTTAAAAAGGCAATTCAAGTCTGGCAACGTAGTTATGCAGTTGATTTGTTGGCAACCGGGAGCCAAAAGGAATAACTGTACAAAGCAAGCAATTAAAACACGTATATCAAGAACAGTCACAACCAAATCATTGCAATGAACAAAAGACACGGTATCATAGGAAACCTCAAAGGTCGCAAGATGTCGCAAGTTGGGCTCATCAAGAGGTCTGCAACGGCCCGCTGCATCTGAGCACAGGAATGTCTTCACGAAATCCTCTTTTTCCCCACCCGACAGGAAGGGGTTGCTAGATTCTATGTTGGAATCCGCGTTTGCGATGCTTCTACACCACGCCCCCACCTAATATCCCGCCAGAGCAGCTTGCCAGTGGATCCCACCGAAGACCCCACCAGAGCAGCTGGCCAGTGGATCCCGCTCACCAGTGAATCCCACCGAGCGAGCGGCTCGCCAGTGGATCCCGCCGAGTATCCCGCCAGAGCGGCTCGCCAGTGGATCCCGCCGAGTATCCCACCAGAGCAGCCCGCCAGTGAATCCCGCCGAGTATCCCGCTGAGTATCCCAGAGTAGCTCGCTGAGGGTCCCGCTGAGTATGCTGCCAGAGTAGCTCGCCAGTGGATCCCGCCGAGTAGTAAAAATCCCGCCAAGCATCCTGCTGAGTATCCCAGACTAGCTCGCCAGTGGATCCCGCCGAGTATCCCACCAGAGCAGCCTGGCAGTGGACCGCGCCGATTATCCCGCTGAGTATCCCAGAGTAGCTTGTGGATCCCGCCGAATATCCCTGAGTATCCCTTGCCGGTGGATCCTGCCGAGTATCCGGCCAGTATCGAGCGGCCAGTATGAGCCGGAGCGGCTCGCAGGTATTCGCCAGTGGATTCCGCCAGTATCCCGCCAGAGCAGCTCGCCAGTCTGGTTTTGCTTAATGTCCCACGGCCAGTTGGGTTTACATTTCATGTTGGTGCCTTCGTGTTTCGACGGAAAGGGTGTTGGTTGCGAATAAGCAACTTCGCTTAATCCCCCGTCGGGTTTCTTTTTGGTGGCTTTTGTTAACGGAACCGATGTTTGAGTTCTCAAGATCGGCTCGCAGACAAGTGGAGTTTGACACACAGACAGGTGGATAAGGCTCTCAATGCAAAGCTTGTTGAGCAGTCATAGGCCCCAAGCCACTCGAAAACCATGCTTGAATTCACACACCCGTGTTCACGGTCGTAAGCTGATGAGTGTGGAGGGTGGGGATTGCTCGAAGCGAAGTAATTTTGTTGTTGTTTTTGATGTTGTTTTGCGGGATTGCCCAGGTTTTTCCGGTGAGGCTCACGCCGAGCTCCCGGTCCCGGCTGAGGCTTCGGCCAAGTCCAGGCCGATCAGCGGCACGAGCCGGGGGCGGCGCTTGGCAAAGGTCCTCAAAGGCCGCCCCGTGGGTGTTAAATAACGTCTGGAACAAACCAACAAGTACATCTCTTTTTGGTTTCCTTTTTGAAAGTTCTAAAAAACAACCACATGGGCCAGTTGAAATAGCACCCAGTCTAACACAAACAATCTCATGGGTGTGTGTGTGTGTGCGCTGAAATGGGGGCCTCCCTTGACCGACTTTCCCAGTGGTTTCCCTTTGACGGTCAATAGGGTGGGTGGGTTGTCAGCTTGGCACACATCCGGGGTACACAGAAACGAATATGCTCAGCTGCTTCTTACTTTGTGTACCCTGGATAAGCCAGGGATGATTGCCCAAAAATCAAAACCAGTATACCAATACGTAGCCTTATGATCCTGACTGAGTTTGGTGTTCAAGTTCCCCCACCAAACCCATTCTAATTCTTCAGTCCCTTACAGTACCCCACCCCAAATGATAAGGGAAACCAAACAGGTTGACTTGTAAAACTGCTGGCGGATTAATGTGAGATGTAATGGGACGGCACCTCGCTGGGTGGGTTTTGGTTCCCCTTGAAACACCAACCAAAAGGAGGTCCAGTTTCGAGAAACCCATTTTTTGTGCATAGTAGGTCACCACGGAAAACCACCTTTTAAAAACCAAAGAAACATGGCTGGTGACCAACTAAACCGGTAGGGATCCACTGGCTCTGGCAATGGATTTATGGATCCTTCGCTTTGCCGCTTTACGAGTCTCCCGTCCGATCAGGAGACAATCCGAGGCGCTTGTAGTAGGTCCCAGCGCTTGCCTCCCCGGAGCAAGTGTCCATGAGCCTGTGGGGCAAACCAAGCGAGGTCTATTCAAACCTCCGAGAAGTTAAAGGCAATTTTGCGGATGAATTGCTGGAAAATGGCCTAGCCCAACAGAAAACCCAAACGCCCCACTCTCCAAAGGTGAGGGTTTTACTGGGACCTCAAGTGCAGTAAACCTGTGCGAGCGCATGCGAGCGCAACTGGCCACAAACAACGGATTCCTCTTGTTAATGTGGTCCACCGATAGAATCCGAAGTTAACATCAGGCTTGTCTGGCGAGGCAGCCGCAAAGAAAGGATAAGACTGGTTGTACATGTCATTGGTGGCAAAAATTCTAAATTAGAATTGAATGCACAAATTCTATTGCAGAGATATTGTGCGAGTTCTGGACCATTGCGGTTCATTCAATTTGTCAAGCGTCTCCCAAAAACTGGGTCCGGACAATCAGCCATTGATTCTCGTGTCCCCAAAAGGTGACCACCTTTTGCTTTCGGATGCTTTGGGTAACAGAGGGGCACTCGTCCAGGTCATTGCCAGCCGGGAATCGACTCTTGTAAATCATAGGCCAACAGTGACATTGCTGGGGTCTCCTTCCAAGCCATTCTGATTTTTTGGGGTAGACTAAATATGAGGCGGAATCATAACATATACTGTCTTGTTTTGTAGCCCAAGTGCGGGCGCAGATTTGGGGGCCAGGTTAACACTAGCAGAGAATGTTGAACACAGGGTATGATTTTGAATCCAGGAACCTTTCGTGGATATCATTTACATGGTGATGCGTTGTTCACTTGTGCTCCGCGTGATACGAGCAATGGCCAATATTTGCTGTCATCTACTCTAGCAACGGAGTGTTTTGGGGGGGCAGTAAATATTTTTGGTATACTGTACATCTGCCATCTGAGTAAACCTCATGTGTTGTGAACCTGACACATGTAAAACAGATAATCACAAAGAGAGATCCCAGTTTTGGATCGCCTTGCCCTCCCTCAGCATCGAAGCCTGCCCCTCAAAGACGAAGTCCTCTTCAGAAGCAGGCAAGTACTTGGTTTGCTTAGTATCCTCATGGTAATGACACCCTCCCAAAGACTGCTTGCAACTGCGCAAAAGGATCCCGGCCAACTGGCCGCGCCAGTATCTCCTGGGTGTGTTTGTTGGCGGGTGCCCTTTTTTCAGTTGGTGTTCAGTGTTTCAGGGAAACCCCAAAGGACAGCCAGTTTTTTTAGTCCGAATCCCTGTTCACATACTCACCTTCGTTTTGGCGCTTCCCAGCCAACCCCGACCAGGACGCCCGGAGCCCTGCGCCTCTGCTCGCGCACGGAGGCACAAAGGGAGGCCATCTCCCCCCGCGCGCCGGACGCGTGGCCCGCGCGGAAGTTCTGGTAGTCTGCGCGGTAGGCATTCAGCTCCTCAGAATCAGGACCACTGCCCTAGGCGTCGAAACCCCTCATTGCAGGAGTGTCTTTTTGAACGTACTGTTCTGCAGTTTAAAGGGACACAAAGGGAAACCACCCAGTTGGGGTAAGTTACCCCCACCCCCCCCATTTTTTGAAACAACCCCCTGATTCTAATCCAATCGGACGATTTCCAAACCCCGACAGATCCAAGCCATGAATAAGTAAGGTTTGTTCGGGGAAAGACCCCGTACTGACGCCACTGTTAAACAAAACTCTGGCGGAGGGTCCACGGGTGGGGCCTTTGGTTCCTGGTCGCTTAGCAACTGGTTTGCAGCCCAAACTCTAAGCCAATGCCCCGGATACCTGAGTAAAATGTCATGTGTGGTAAACGTATGTGCCCTTTGTGGGGACTGTGGAAAATCCTTTGTGACCATCTTGAGTGGGAAGCCCTCCAAACCAGGCTTTGGACATCCCCTTGTTCCCGTGGAACCAAAAGCAGCACGCCCAGACCACGACGGGGTTGTCCCTTCGAAGCCTTCGATTCACCTCGCCCGCGCCTGGATCTCGATGTCCTTGGGAAGGCAGGCCAAAGGAGGGCCAAGGACCTCGAGCACCTCCAGCGCGTCCTCCACCGATGGTGTAGATCATGGTACGAAGCACCAAACTATTTCAATGGGCCTCCTTTGAGTTGTACAACTCTCGGCGCAAGCCAGGGACATCGAAAACATCCGCAGAGTCTGATTCATACTTAAATAGGGTAATCTGGAAATTTAAAATCGTATCGAAGGAGACCGCGCAGGCTTTGCGTATGGTGTTTTCCTGAAATAATGCAACAATCAACAGCAAAAGGCCGCACCTATAGTTCTTACTGGCTGGAACTGTCCCCGTACTACTCTTCAACTACCCGGGCCTGAATTGTGGCAATTGGTGGCGTCCCATGGCGCAAAAGGAATGCAGTGTCTTATTTTGGTGAGTCCACATCTACAGGAACCTATCCAAAAAAGGTACCCTCCCCAAACAGGGACACCTCCCCCAAAAAGGGAACCCCCACCAAACAGTAGAAAGGGGGAAACTCCCCCAGAAAGGCGGATCCCCTTCCCAAAAAGGGGGACACCTACCCCATGTTGTTTTTGCCCCACAGCGCATGGCTCGCATGTCAAGCGATGGGCTCCGAAAGGCTGCTCCTGCGGATCCGGGACTGGGGCCTCCTCGCTGTCGTTATCGATGGAATGAAGGCTATCCTTGCTGGCAGTGGTGCCAAATGGAGTTCGTTACGGAGGGGGTCACCGATCTGGGACACAAAGGGTGATCATCCCGGATACTTGCAAAGGCTTCCCATCCGGGAGTGATTCTCCAAAGCAGCCATCCCAGAGGGGCCCTTGGTACCCAGCAAGGATGGTTGGGTGGGAAGTGCCTTCTTAGGCACCCAGTCTCCATCCCCCCGCCAAAGCCACAAGAACCAAACAAAGTCTGCCATTGGGCTGGGTATCTGTGCGAAGGCTCAGATGATCCACCTCATTCCTGATGCCGCAGACCTCAGATCGGCGAGGGTTTGCCTTTGGACCCGTCGCCGGTCACAAGTTGCAGGTGGTTGATCCCATTGTTACTCTCGGTGGTGGCAAGTCCAAGCTTGCAGGATCTGATTCTTGTGTGTGTGAATACTTTTTTGGGGGGACCCGTTGGTGGATCTCATTTAGAGGTAGTTCAGTATTAAAATTCATTACCGTGTCCTCCATTTGGACCATTTCCCTGCGAGAGCTTCCAAGCACGTTAATTACTTTGACCCGTCTCACTTGTGTTTCAAGCAAATGGGTTTGTGACTTTTTGGGGCCTGATAATCTTTTCAGGCTTGTTGAAAGGGAAGCCAAGAGCAACACCGAAATCCATCTTGGGGTCCAAAAACACAAGGTTACACCTAAGAACAGCGAAGTTTGCTAGTTGATTTCAAGTTAAGGAAACTCCCCGAAGAAAAAGGAAAGTCACCATCGCTACTGTAGGTCTGGAAATACATTAGTTCCAGCACCCAAAACCGAGCTAACTTTTGGGTCTAACATGGTTCTTAAGGCTTACAAAGGCCTCACTATAAACCCCAACCCAGGCAGTCACACATGAAATGGCGCTGGGGTTGGCGCTCAAGTGATTCCTGGAATGTTCAATCAGGTATCGGAAGCCCTGTTACGCGATGTGGTTCTACCTAACCCCTCCTGATTGCCCTTTATTGCTACATCCACCCCTGTTCAGACATGTTTTTTCAGACCCAAATCCAAAAAAAGACCTTCTCCCCCCATAACTTTTGATTGACCCAATTCTAAACCAAGACTAAACTTCAAACAACCCTCATGACCCACCCCCACAGCCCGAAACTTTCAGGAACCCCATTCGCCCGTGTCCGTCGCTACCATCCGGGGCACCGGTGAACCCTCGGACAGCGAGAAGATGGGCTCGCGCCCGAAGCATTCGGCACGATCCTCGTTGGACACCAAAGAGGCCACCTGAAACAGGGCTCCATATGGCTGTGGCTCAAAAAACCGGTACCCAAAATGGAACCCTGATAATTAGAAACAAGGACTAAAACCTGCGGTCCTCTGGTGGATTCATTTTGACCCATACCCCAGGCGTGGTTTCCCATTCCTCAAGAACCAGGGCTTTAAATCCCAAACCAATCCAAACCACGCGAACCACACGGCTCCCTGTATTCCCTTCGGACATCGCACTAGGAAACTCACTGTAATTTGGTCAAACAGTGATGTTTACAAGCTCCAAGAAGGGGACACATCGGGAGCTGCGTCCAAACCCGTGGGGGTGGAGTAACATAATCTAGCCAATGTTGACTTGTCCGACCATTGGGATAGCTCATTTCGGGAAAACCATCCAAAAACCACAGGACGACCAGTGCGGGTTTGTTGAAAAATAGAAACCCAAGGGCTGCAACTAGCGAAGCCCGACTCCAAGTCGTGATCATAGAAGCCCATGGGATCCCAGTAAAGGAGGGTACGCCGGAAAAGTGCTTATCACGGTACTAACCGAAACCTTCAAAGGAGGCATTGGACCAAAAGCAAAACTAGGATGGTGTGGCAGCACTAATGGCAAGCCAAAACAACTAATTGGGACTGCCCCCATTAACCTACCACCCAGATGCTGATTGTGCTCCCAGTCGGGAGAAATGCATACGCGAGTTGAGTGCTGAAGCTCCTGATGGTTCATGCAGTCACTTCAGCTAGGCTTCTTTCTAAGAGGTCCATTCTTCATGCTGTTCTGCACCCCACCACGCCATATTCACAGCAAAGGGGGGACTTTTGGGCTCGCGCCGATTGGGTCCAAAGCCCAAGGCCTGGTTCAAGGCCACGAAAAGAAACAACCCGTCCTCTCGCAAACATAGCACCTGTGGGGGGAACTTGGATAAGTGTCCTCTTGAAGTTATCCCTTCTTGGGCGCCATGTTCGCGCCTTGAAGAAGTCAGTGAAAGAGATGGATAGGGTCCAAAAACTGGCTGATATGACATGATGCGACCAGTAACCAGACAACAAAAACAATCTGGTCGTGCAACACCACCAACCCCCTATGAGCTGCCCACAGGGAAATCAAAAGGGAACTTGGTTGTGGAAAAGGACCATCTGTGATTCTAAAGTGGGATTCCCATCCCCATGCCTACTTTTGCCACGTCGAAGGGAATTCCGGGAGGCCAGAACAGAAATTGGCAACCGAAACCTCCAATTTCCAGCCACTTCCCATGGCTTTAGCGGGTGGTCCTTTTGCAGAACCCTTGTTTCAAGGAATGAACTGCTTATAGGCGACATACTCTCATTTCCGACAACCATGAATTTGTCATTGAGGATGTCTTTGGGGATGGGACCAAAAGGCACATTGAATCAAGTGCTGTTAGGGACCTGCCCCATTTGCAACCAACAGGGATTGTTGCCACTGCCAAATGCACCCTGAGACACCCTGGACAAAATTACGCATTTCCCCAAAAGAACATTGCAAAACTAGGTGGACGCCAGGCTGTGGTGGGAAATTTGGGTGGGGCCCCCCCATGAGACTACCAGTAGATTTGTCAGTTGCTCAGATCATTGCTGAACAGCTCGGGAACATCTATTACCCCCTCCGGGACGCCCTGGACCCCCCTTCAAAAAGAGTTTGTCCACATTCAACAGGCCCAAATCCGCCCGGCCTTGGTGCACGGAACATCCGCTGCCACCGTCATCTCGAACGAGTCAGCGGGACTCGCAGCCGAATTCGGCCAAAGCGTCCGCTGTGCTCGCTCACGTCATGGCGGTCAGTTGGAAGTGCTTGGTCCAGTTGCTACTAGTA